GACTCGCTTTTTAAGGTCTCATCAGAGATACCCGCAACTTTCACTTCAAAGTGCTGAAAACTTGGCGAAGGAACAGTTGCTACCTATGTTTTATAGACTTACGTTGTAGGTTAGTAGCTGCCAGGTTTTGAAAAAAAAGGTTATAGTTGGTTTCCTTCAAAGCGATTAAGCAAGAGTTATTTCCCATTGGCCGCCATAATGTAGGATCAATATGCCCAGACCCTTTCATTATTCCACTATGTTCAACTTGTTAATCTAAGCACTGAGGTACAGAAAACACTGTTTTTCTCAGGAATATACTTTTTTGAAGACTCTTTAAATTAATAATTTTAATATTGTTTTAATATTATTTTTAAGTTGACCTTCATCTTTTATAGTCAGTAAAACACCCACATATGAAACAAATGAGAAAGACTCTGTGTAAAACATTTGTTTTACTTTTTAGTAGGAGAGATAACACAACGAATCACAATTTGAATTGTTGGACTGAAACAAATTTTTTCATCCAATCTGTATTTTTTTCTTTTTATTAGGAAGAGACAAACGGTGTTTTCTATGTCATTTATGAAAATGGCTGAAGTAATATTATTCTAATTTTTGGTGATACATGGTGTATGATACATACTTGAGGACAGTTGAACATAAGTCATAATTTGTATAAATATAATATGTAAAAGTGTTCGAGAATTATTTTGTTTGAATTTTGACATTTTATTGATTTGAACTATTAGGACATTATTATTCATATTTGCTGTCAAAATGTTTGATCTGCAATAAAATTCTTTCTAACTATCGAAATATTTACATGTATGTATGCTCAACCTGTATAACAGATACCTTGAAAAAAAGACTTTTAATGCACACAAATTAACTGTAAAAGTGTAATTTGAACTTTTATCCCTTATTACGAATTAGTATATAATATCTTTTATCATCAGACTTTCCAATTTTTTGATAATCATGGATGTCGTCCGTTTGGATTGTTTGAATATCGGTTGTTATGTTATAAATTTGCAATTTGTTGCCTGAAATGATATAACAACCCAATGTATATGTAAATTCAATCAAAATCTGTTCATTTAATGTGATTTAATTAAATTTCAATGAGTTATGATCATAGATGTATAACCTTAAACGATAAAAAGGTATTTGTGGCTCTCATTCAGGATTTTAATATAAAATAAGCACATTCTTCGGGTAAGTTACAAATAATGGAAAAGCCCTTTAAAAACATGTAGCTACGTACAGTTCAATTTTTTCGTGAATTTTTTTAATGCTTAATGACGTTGCACTTCCACGTTTGTGACGTCAAAATAAAAACTTAAACCTTTCACATGTACATTTATTTATTACAAAATTAGCTCAAGTGTAACATTTCCTACCAACAGTAGTTTTTAGAATAGAGTTATTTAAAGGATATTTTCTTTCTTATGAGGAGAGCCTTTAAAATAATTCATTTTATGAGAAAATAAGATTTTACAGGTACACCTACGGACAATTTACAATTATGGACTGTTTAGAAGGGATACATCACCAATTATCAGGTCTGAATATGGTTAATTATTAAGATGGAGTAGAAATTGACTTCTTTTGTTCTCCTACCCACTGCTCCGATTCCACATTTTCAAAACATGTCAGCAGATAACTTTGAGGTCACCCTTAGAATTTATTGTTTACCTATCCCGCATATAAGATATATAATAATAGATATGAGTTATCTCGCTTACGACAATTAATATATTTTCATCTAAAGGGAGTTAACACAGTTGTCACTCTGCAGGTTTGCTTGCGCCATTTCATTGTCATCTGAAGAGAGACAACACAGCTGTCAGCCTGCGCATGAAGGAGACTTCACGAATTGTCTCCCCGCATATGACATGCTTTAAACCAATCAGAATGACTATAATTCTGAACGATAATAATAGACTTTGTAATATCAATTTACTTAAATGAAAAAAAAAAGAATTATACTATGTCTGAAAAGTAGTATATACAGTTCACACAGAAGCAATATTTTAACAGTATTCCATTATGAAACAGAATGATAATAATATTCGTGATAACTGGTCACTGCCGCTCAAAAAATATCATTTTAACATTGAAGAAAAATGTTATCTAGCAGCTTCAAGTAGTAATGACACCTACAATAATGTCATAACAATAGTTTCCCACGGTCTGGCTAATTGTTTACCAAAAATTGCAAATACAGTTATAGATTGTATGAAAAGTTACTCCCCATTGATATTAGATGTTTCTGAGTATTACATAGACAATAATTTCGACGACCCGCCACTGTCTCTTGATTCTAAGAAAAGCCTTTGACTCTTTACCGTATGATTTTATATTAAAATTCAATTTAAAAGACAGATTAATAAATATGTAAATTGAATAATGATATATGAAACATTTTTAATAAAATAAATCATGAAAATCGCATGAAAAGGAAATATTGATAAAGCAAGGGTGCCCTTTGTCTGATTGTTAAAATATAGAAAAAGAACCAAATTCGTTACGTAAGAATTTTATATACAACACATTTCTTCATTAAAGGACATGCAGTTGGTTCAAAATTAAACTTGGAATGAAACAGAGTGCCTTTTAACCTGTTCTTCGATAAACACATTTGAAAATGACTTTTTTTTATTGAGGGCATCAAAATTATCGGAAGTTTTAAATCCCTAGAAGTCTATATTTGCCAAGATAGAATTGAATGTAATTGAAACAGTGGGCAAAAAAGTTAGAAAAATTACCTAAACAAAACAAAATTACAGCTTGAAGAAACTGATGTCTAACATCAATATTTAATTCTTTTACTAGTACTCGATTTGGATTTTTTTTAAAGATTGTCCAATCTTATGAACTACCAGTCAAATAACCGGTTCGATAGAGAAGTCTAAATTCCCCCTAGTTCCATATTAACGTAATTTCCCCTATCCCGGGAGATACGTTATCATTGATAGGCATTTGGATCATCTTTAGGTGGTGGAATATTAGGATATTTCTCTTTATCTTTGAACAACTTTAACTCTTGGTAGGCATGTAATTCATCTTTCATTGATTCAAAAGTTTCTGTGCTGGTAACGTATGTTTGTGATTTTCAAATATGTTAGAATATGAATCTGTATCTGTTTACATTTAGGCATTCCAAAATTGAATACCCGATAGAATGGTACACTTATTATATATGTACAAGAAGATTAAAATACAATGCAGTTTAAGAAATAACCGATTTTTTAAATAAGATTAAGAGTACACAAAAAGTAAAAATCAGACATTTTGGTTTTTATGATTGTAATAAGTTTATTTTTTAAGATGCATTTCACAGAGTAATGATTTGTTAATAAGCAAGCCATCAGGATAATTTACAAAGAACCTTGTATCATACAGTGTGAATTCATATTGATCCAGCATCCAGATCAGTAATATTAGCTTTCATTTATTGATCATAAAATTCATATTTAAAAAAGGCAGACTTTTCAATACATACGCAGCTATGTTAAGGCTTCCCGAAGCTTTAAAATGCGTTCAAAACATAATATGTCATTGCGAGGTCGGTTTTGGTTTTAATTTATAAGTATTGAACTTTAGTACTTCCAATTTATATAAAGGGTTTCCTCGGCTATATATGAGCATATTTGCTATGATATCAAATGACTTTGTTGATCACGTGACGGTCATTTATAATTTTTTGAAGTGTTTCATATAAATCGTTTCGGCGCAGCTGATTAACATAATAATTATTAACATTTTGTTATATAAATAAACTCATCGTATCCTTGTGTATCCGAAATGTGCTTGGGAAAAGTCATAGTATTACTTGGGTACAAGATATTTCCTGAGAAATTCAACTTACCTACAAATTTGAGGGTATTTTCCACAAAATATCGTAATCTGTATTAAAACAAAGCCAACACACATTTTTCCCAAGCAAGATTCAGTTAGAGAACAACCTCTTCTTACAGATTTCCACAAAAATTCTCAGATTAATCCTCATTAATCACCTGCGCCAGACTCTTTTATACACACAAAATAAATTCTACCTCCAACTACGGGTATAAAACAGAGTACATTTCAAAAGTACATTTTTCATAAGCATTTTGAACATGATGAATTTCAATCAAGGGTAGGTAAGCGGTGTATTTTTAAGACTTAAAAACCTTTAACGACCCGTGAATTTTGCAATAGCTATCTAACATTGTACATGCAGTTTGAAATAAAGTGTAAAGTTCATGACACTCTCCCCGTCATAACACCTCAAGTTTGCAGTGACCTGACGTCATTTTCCATTATGACGTCATATTTTGGTAGTTCAGAGATGCGAAGGCACAGAGTGCACTGTCATATTCTACGGGAAGCCTTATCCTACCTGCGTAATGCATCTTATTCATAATAAAGTAAAGACAAATGAATACCATTTTTAAAAAAAAACAGTCATGTATAATGCAAGAGTCAATGCGTTCTTTATTGCAAAGCAGTTGATTGAGAACTGTCTGTCAAAAAAGTTAAAATATGCTGAAAAACTATTGCAAAATTTTTCATAAATTTATGAATTAATTATAAATAGATCAATAGTAGAGTAAATGTTTTATTACAAATTTAACATCTGATTTGATCTACCGTTCACGGTAGCTCAGTCGGTAGAGCGCTCGCTCCGTGATCGGGAGGTCGTGAGTTCGAATCTCGGCCGCGACAGACCTAAGTCGATAAAAAATAGGTAGCAACTGTTCCTTCGCCATGCGCTCGGCACTTTGGAGTGAAAGTTGCGGGTCTTTCGGATGAGACCTTAAAAACCGAGGCCCCGTGTCACGGCAGGCGTTGGCACGATAAAGATCCCTCACTGCTCAATGGCCCTGAGTGCCGAGTAAAGGTCAAAATTTGAAGCCCTTCACCGGTATATGGTGACGTCTCTATATGAGTGAAAAATTCTCGAATGGGACGTAAAACAATATACAATCAATCAATCAATCTGATTTGATCTTCAATTTGTGGACCCATCGAAATTCATTATGATTTCACAATTTTGCATACAAAACATCGTAATAATCAACGTGTCCATTCCGTTCCTGTGATTTTAACATGAACTAGATTTTGTTGATGAGAGCTTCACTTTGTATTCTAGCAGTTCGCATAAACGCTGTCATTTTGGATGTATTCTGCAACAGTATCATAACAAAGCTGGTATTCGTCCTGAAAGTAAATATAAAATAAAAAATAATAAAGGTTGAAGTGTTTAGTTTGTTTTATATCGTCACAAAATTGCAAATGATGATTAAAGCTAGCTAAATTAAGATACATGGATATCTTTATTTAAAAAAAAATACATTGTCTCAGGAATTGTAACAATCATCTCTGACCTGGTAATCTATATTTGGGAAAAAAGATCTAACATCTTACATACAAATTTGTAATCTCCTTGAATATTACTTTGCTGAAAGCATTCATAATTCAAAAGGATAGAAATAGATATGCACATACCAAAACTGATACAAACTCCGGTCTACGGATCTGTAGTTGACGTGTGATGGTGAAGATGTCCACTTCCTGGTCCATTGAGAGTTGTTCTAGCGCGTTATAGACAACAGCAAATGCTCCACAACGTGTGGCTCCATCACTTTCAAGAAAAACCATTACATAATGTAAGGATAAGAACAATTATTTTTGCCGAATACCCTTAAATTTAGAGAAATTGTGGTAAATATGGAATGTTTTTGTACATATACGTGTACATATGAACCTACATAATCTACAAAGAGTCTTAATTATAAGTTTGAGTTCAAAAAAGCAGCTCGCTGCTGAAAAGCTTGAGTACATACTACAATATTGCATTACCTGGACAAAATTAGAATTTTTCCTTCGTGGTTGACCTTTTCAGATTTTGCTTCTTTAACAACATCCAGCAAAGCACTTTTGTTCATTGTCTTTTTACCTTCTTTCCATGTTTTGCATTCTAGTACAATTATCTTTGTGTCACTTATTCCCTGCAATTAGGAAATTGATGAATTAGATAAATGAATACATTACGATAAATAACAAAATCACAAAATTTTGTTCATAGTTTGAAAAATGAATAAGAGGCACAGAAACATTATTGCTTTAGCTAAGTCACTGTTTTCTTCAAATGAACAGGTACATATTACATGGAAATCCTTTCTTGCTCAACTAAATTACATCGAAGCTTTCCGTACAGTTTCATTTTTAATTATATGATGGCTTTGTATATAAAATGTCAAAATACAACCTACCATGTGCTGTAGCACAATGCTTCTTGTTGAAAAATTTGTTGAATTTGTTGACGCAGCTAGCTTAATGGTAAAGTTTCCAGCAGTCTTATGATCGTTTTTTGACGGAACCCATACAGAAGACTGAGAGAAATTCGAAAAATGGTCATTTTATTAACTAATCATATATAACCAGTATAGAACATTTTCCTATCTATAAGATTTCAAGAATAATGAAGGAGAGCAGTGCTATTCTTTTCTTGATTAATAACATATCTTACGGATTTCAAATCCTTCAACGGACACAGAAAAACGACCACATTGACGTCAAAATCCTTGACGAGTCTGAGAAAGTCTTCAGTGTAGTCAGGAAGTGGGTACTGAGCGCTGATCAGACTGTCATTTTCTGTGAACGACTGGAAGACAAACAGAACCTTTTTAAAATATCTTTTTACTTTAAATTGTAAATGTAAAACTTCTAATCCAATAATGACTAATGTTAAAATGTACATGTACTTTTGTTTACGCTAGTTATAGCATTATAATTTACTTTTACTGAACGTTTCATGTCTTTTATAAACATCGCATATATCCAAGGATATCATGGAAACGAACATTTTTAGATATGCATTTGCGTATATAAAATTCTTTTATTGTGCATTACGGTATTTTTATCAATCTCGCCGATATTTAAAAGTAATATTTTATCAATATCATTAAGGTGTTTGTTTTCTTTCAGTAAAAAGTGTTTCATATGAATTGCAAATTAAATCAGACCTGAAGTATAACGGCGTTGTAGTATGTGTTTCTTCCCTTTGAATAAGACAAATGACACAGATATTCGTCAACTGAAGAAAGTGTGAAGAGAAATTTACATTAATTTTTTGTAATTTAAATTATATTTTTTAAAAATATATTTTCTTGGTAAATTTACTTAATTAAAATCATTAAATGCATGTGTTTCAATGTTTTTCAAAACTGAATTTGATAAAAATCAGGTTAAAAATAATTTGAAATATACGTGGCAAAACGCTGTATGTATAGTTGGCTGATTTATTCATGCGTCCAGTTTCATAGTCCTTTTCTTCGTATTTCTTCCGAAGAGACAGTAACTCCTATAAAAGATCGTGATACATCATTAACAAGCATTAAGTCGAGAAAGAAAAACATTTTTGTGGCAATGATTCTGATCAAAATTTTGTTTTAATTAACTTGATTTACTTTATCAGTGATTGTAATGATTTCCTCAGTTTTTAACACTTTAGTAGATAATGATCAACCCTTTTTTAACTGCAAAACAGTTGAGTAGAGGCACAAAAAGAAAGTAATTCCTAGTCTGATTTTTTTAAAGATTTTAAAATTATTTTTTATGTATTATTTTGTGTGTGTGCTTTCCTACATTTATTTAAATATCGGAGCTTTAAAGAGTTTTCTATCAAAACACAACAAATTGAACAATTTGGAAAAAAAGAAAGAAAAAAAGCAAAACAAAAGCAAGAAAGTACTTTAAAAAATATGCGTTTTATTACTTATTTTATTTAAATGTAGCTTTTTTTTGAAAAAAAAAAATAAATGATGTGTTTTTTCTTTTGAAGGGGGTCGTGTAAATAACCTGAAGCTCTGAGGACAAAGAAGATTTTGCCGCTTCTTCTCCACAATTGGTATAACAAGACTGTTCTTGTAGTTGTCGTAAAAATGACTCTGTAGTCAGACATCTTGATTTTCCATTGAACGATTCACAAAGGGCAAGGTAGACTGCTTTATATTGATCCTGAAAATTAACAAAATCAGGAATCAAGTGAAAACACGGAGATTTTAATATTTCACAAAGAAAAAAAATGCGAATTTTACATTTACTCTTTCTTCATTCAAAATTCACGCGTTGTGGCTGGCTATTTATTGAAATTTAGAAAATTTATGATTAGAAATGTGTTAAAACTGTGGAAAGTAATTAGCAAAGCATTCTTATCCTTGGTTATTTTTGTATTCCTACAGCACATTTGAATAATATTTTTTTTTCTGATAAATACTTACATAGTTACGCTCACTTATTGTATATATATACTTTGTAAACTGTCTGTGAGAAAGATGTCTTACAATATACGAGATAATTACAATATATAAAGTGCACAGAAATACATCAGGTTTGGGAAAAAAACTAGCAAAAAATTACAAGGTACATGTAAACGAGGACTTTGATTTGTCAAACCATTGGGGAAAGTATTCCTGTTAAATAATCAGAAAGAGTTAGCCTTCAATTCAGTACATTTTCCACACATATTTATTTCCTTTTCTCATTTCCTTTACAATTCATTTGATAGATATGCAAGTTTGTACATTGACATTATAAGGAAGGTATGTCAACATTTTTTTGTTATATTTAAATGATTCTTCCCATGGATATCATTTGCTATAAATTTTCCTTAACGACAATTTCAAATTCATACAATTAAGAAAATCGCTTTGTTTGACGAGTTAAAGTATTGGACAATTAAAGAATGTTTTTATGTTTGTTTTCTTTAATTAAGGAAGAGTTTTAAAGGAAATTCACACTTGAGGAAATTATTTTAAGTGGAGCCGCTACGTGACTTGATAAACATCTCCATGCAGATAATTCAATACAGGAAATAATATGTCAATAAAGTAACCCTCTTTCTGTATTTGCTATCTGAAGTTAAATGCTTTTTGAGTACCATAAACTCAGAAGGTTTTGTACCTTGATATATCATTCTATATAGTGTTTCTTCCAATTCCATAGAGTAAAATTTACAACACATTGCAAAAAGTGAATAATAAAGCTATTTTTTTTCAAAAACAAAGCAAAAGGGCGTTTTAAATCAGCTTTAGAAAGAGATTATAGATAAAGTAAATACTTAAAATGGATACATTTCACAAACATCCTCTGAACTGTGCAGCCAATATCTACATTTTTGTAATGAGGGTTCCTAGAGATTATCTCAAATTTGTTTTGTTGGGTGTTCAAAAGACCTTTATATTCGAAAATATGATTAAAACAAACGTGCGTATTTTTTCTAACAATAGACAGGGATCCATTAAAAAGGTTCGAGCTAAACAAGGGAAAAGGATAATTGAAAATAAGAACAATGGGAACTGATATCTTGTAACAATTAATTTACAGATGTTCGTTTATATCACATTATAAATTTCTTCAAGAATTTCTTTTCTGTACTGTCTTCTGACTTGAACAGCGTGTAGGGAAATGTAGAGCAAAATGTCTGAATAGTGTTGATATTTACATCAAATGATGAGAAATGTATGCATACCGCTAGAACTGACTACAAACGCTCGATTTTTTGATGGATATCATCTACAATGCCTCTTGAATATATCAGAATTAAAGAAAGGCCAGAAATAAGTAGTTATCCTAAACACACTCACATCGCCTTGTATCATGTTCATTCTGTCTTTTCTCATTGTCCTGACGTACATCGGTACATTAACTTTACCATTTCTCTCCCCTTCTCGGTAGAGGGCGTCTAATGCAATGTACGTTCCGGTTCTGCCAATTCCTGCGCTGTAAATATTACAAGCGAAACAAAACTAACATGAAGTTCAGAAAATATATATTCTAAAGGATTTTAAAAGAGAAAACTTATTTGGCAGTTCATCTACAGTCGGTTCAAGAAATATCGTCATTTGATTTATTGCCAGACTTCTTTTTAAGAAACGTTTTTTTTTCTGCTATATAAAATCCTTCTTATACATGCAATGCCAAAACTGCATACGGTCATCCCTCGCCCTAGGTTTTTTTTTATTAAGATACTTTCATTTTTAAAATGGAAGTTATCTCGTGAATTTGTTCCGTGAAGCGGCTAATTGGCGCTGTCAATCTCATTTGTAAAGCTAGTCAAAATGATTTAAAACTGACTGATAGTATTATTAGTATTCAATACGAAGAAGTTGATTTTATTCATTTATAGTTTCACCACGAAAAAAATTAATGTTTATCGAAAATCGACTGTTATTTATGCACTAAAATATTTGTTCATTCAGTTCTTTCACACTGAAATCATTAACATATAGGAATACAAATCATACTACAGAATCTAGTTATACGTATACATTAAGCAGCAGACACCGGATGAACATACACCATTCCGTCAACTGAATGGTCACTGAAAGGTCTGGAAAGTCACTGAATGACAATTCTCTGCCATTCAGTCAACTTTCTGTGGACTTTCAGTGATCTTTCAGTTGACTGAAAGGCAGAATTTTATCCTGTGAGATTGTATCTAATTGACTCATCTGAAAACGTCTTTCTCTAATCTGTACATAATTTATTCGGGTTTAACATTTCATACAAATACATTGTAACAGAGGATGACTGCACTTAAGGACATACAAAATTTGTAACAAAATAGAATTTCAAAACGAATATTTTTCTTTTAATTCCAGGAATAGTCAACATTTTAAGTCATCTTCACGTATTTACATTAATTAAATTCTTGTATGCATGAAGTTTGAATCTGGTTTAGATGGCGAGGTTATCCTTATTTCTTGAATTTACATACATAACTACATGTATAAACTTGTGTGAAAAAGAACAAACAAACATGCGGTCATGGTTGAAAAGAGAGAAAAATCTGTTTTTCTTACGTTTTCTGTGTCTTTATTGTACACAAGTATTGCTTCCTATTGGATATTAAAAATCACCACGTGATTTCTTGCTTCACTTACTGATTACTTATTTCCGTCACGTGTCGTATACCTGTTCTTTTATTACTGATCATTAAACATACATTTGCAAAGCAGCAGGGGATTTAAAATGACCAAATATTTTATCAAAGCCTATCTTATTTTAACATCCAACGTCTATTTGAAACTGACCAGATTCTTTAGCAAAAAAATATTCAGAAATGAAATTAGGAAAAAGATCTAAGAAACAAATGCAACTGAAAAAGAACCCAAAGTATTCTAGGTACACTGCGTTCAAGAAATTAAAGAAAAAAAATACTAGTAGGGATATCGGTCTTTTTAAATCAAAATGTTCAAAATTTGTTTATTTCTTGCTAAATGATTTACAAGAAAGTTAAACGCTTAATGCGCATTAAGATTTCATTGGAAAATTTCTTAAAAACTCTGATTGTTAAAATTATGAATACTGAATGATCTCATAATGGGAGAGAGAGAGAGAGAGAGAGAGAGAGAGAGAGAGAGAGAGAGGGGGGGGTAATTTTAATACAACCTGCAGTGGACCACTGTATATTTTCCAGGGTATTGTGCTGATACTCGCATCACGTGACGGTGGAACACAACAAGACTAAGTGGATCAGGGACTCCATGGTCTGGCCATCGCGTGAAGTGAAACATCACTACATCCCTAGTTGCTTTTTCCTATAATTCCATAATGCAAACCATACATAAGGTGTTATTAAAAGACGTAATAACGAATATGAGTAACGCTAGATATAAGGTTTGTTTCATATAAGTAACAATAAATGTAAAAACGCCCTTTTTTGTCATAAAAAATGATAACTATGCAAATCAAAAGATGTTTTAAGTTAATTTGATGTATACAAATTAAATATTGTTTGAAACGTTGAAATATTTCTCTTATGCGATAACGCAAAAAAAAAAAAAAAAAAAAAAAAAAAAAAAAAAAAAAAATTGTACCTGATGATTGCTCCATCTACATGTACATAACTCTAAACATATTACATTTGGCTGTGTATTGTATTAAGCACCTTTGACGCAAAAATAACTAAATCAAGAACATCGCTAAATGTCTTGTATGGATACATTTATATCTAGTAAATTCAGAAAGGGCTAAAAAAAATCTACGTTAACTTCTCTTAATATCATGTACTCTAAATAACTGATATATCAAATTTACAGTATTAGAAGATATGTCATACATGCATTCATTTAAGCATTGAATTCTTATTTTTGGATGTTGTCGGTCCTACGCGCGGTATTCAATTTGTCGGCACGGCCAGTTGTGTTATAGGACCGACGACATCCAAAAATAAGAATTCAATGCTTATATTTACATTCTCTAGTTTTCCCTCTTCAATATTGTTTATTTCCATAATCTTTATTATGAATTTAGCGCCTTTCAGAACTGGCGTGCTTAAAAGACCTAAGAGCTGTTTGTGACCTTGGAAAGTAAAATAACGCAAATGAGCATTACGAGAGGGGAAAAAAATGACAAATTAATTTTAAACGTACATGTATTGTATTTTACGTTAATTTAACAGGTAGATGGTTTTTTATATTAAAATGAGTCAAAACAATATACATTTTAGTGTTCAAAGATATTGAAAATGCATACAGTTCCTACTGTGTATTCTACCGCGCGGTGACAAGGTTTTGCGTGTGTTATAGAGATTTGAACGTCGTAGATTTCTAATGGATTTCATAAAGAAAATTACACTAAATGTAAATATTTTAATTTGCAACAATGGAGACGAAGACTTTTTTTGGAATATGATAGAAATCGTACGCTCAGAGCATAGATTGTTAATTATTTCCTTTTAATTACTTCCACATTTAGAAAGCCGGGGCACAAAGCAGATCAATTGAATACATTGTTGTCTATTTATGACCTCGCGTCGTTTCAACGTGGAACAATTTAACAATCCGATTTCTTTCTGACACAGCACAGAATACAAGTGATGGAAAACAGACCGTTTCAAGTGTATATTGATATGATATCTCCACGAAATGAACGACCATGTGAATGCATAATATTCTTTCAGTTTCTCTAAAGGATTTTTTCCTGTCAAATCTTAACATCAAATTAGAACTCTGTAAAGAAATATCTATTTTCATGATCAATTCTAATATTGCAGGAGTTCATTCATTCATTAAGCTTACAAAGTCAGTGTTTCGTGAAAAAAAGTTTTACCCTCAGTGTCAGTTTACTTTGAAATCCGATAGAATTTGCATTCCTTTAATTCAAAAAAAAAATAAATGTGATGAAAGAAATGACTAAATATAAATATAGATTATTATTTATTATTATTTCATCGGGCTTTTTATACCATCTTATATAATAAAGCTGAACACGACCCGTAAATAGGATTGCGCCATATTAGTTTTTCTATCTCCAATATCAGCACTGGGGTATATCCTTCAAATTCGTTACTCCGTACTGATTTCTTATCACGGGTTCCTGCGTGGAATGGCGATCCGTGTTCGTTATGATTATCTTACATAACCTTTGCTTACATTTTATTTGAGTTTACGAGTATACTTGTGTTTGTTAGTATTGCACTAATCTATGTAACTGTTGTAAGTTTCTTTGGTAACTTTCTCTCCTACCGTGAAATAAGCACACAGTTACTTTTGTCGCTATTAAACTTTGTAGAATATGCCCGTCTACACAGGTGAATACTGATTACACTGAACCATGACTAGGTAAACGGCATATATAGGGGTCTCAAATGTAACGTCAGGATAAGACTAATATGACGGACAGATTCCTTTTATGAACCGTGTTCAGCTTTAAGAAAGAATTTATTGAAAACAAAACAAAACTGCTGATAAAGCACCGCAGATCCAAATTAGACAAGGTTTTATATTTCCAAAATATTGACATCTCAGATTAATACATCAGCCCTAGCAAAAAGAAAAAAATTCAAAGATTTTTTTATTATAAAAAGTAAGTTTTAATGGCAAGTCTTATGTGTAGATTTTTGTAAGGTTTGCCAGGTAAGCAGATGTCATGTTAATAAACATGATATACATGTATTATAAAGACATACAATGTTGAGTTTTTGCAATTTATGACTTGAAGATGGACACCCCCCTGTTTTATTTTTAATCAAAATATCATATCCACAATTCTCTGTTTGTTATAAGAGCAGCAGCAGCAAAATAGATCGACGAATAAATAAACCCAAAGAAACAGTAACCAAGACCATAAAATACATAACATCAAAGGTTTTACGCCTCCGTAATCGAAGATCGTCTCTCTTTGCCCGCAAAAATTTTAACCTAGCCCATAACTTTTGATTGGTTGGAACTATGGCTTTCAACTTTTCAAACATGTATTCTTTGTGACAGGACCTTTTTTTGGGTACCACTATATTTGACCTCATGACCTTGACATTGGAATTTGACCCGCATTCGCAAAAAATTACCAAACTTTAACTTTGGTCATAAATTTTAAACACTTAATGCTAGGGCTTTCATACTTCACATCTGTAGTCCTTGTTATAAGACCTTTTCTTGGGTATAAATATTTTTGACCTTAATATTGGAGTTTGATTATCAAACTTTTGAACAGACATTACTAGGCCTTTTATATTGCAGATATATTCCTGTTGACAAGACCTTCCATTGGATACCAACAATTTTGACCCTTTGACCTACCTTTGAAAAAACTTTGATCATAACTTGAACAGTTAATGCTAGAGCTTTTATATATGACTTGTGTATTCCTTCTAACAAGACCTTCCCTTGATACCAACATTTGTGACCCTTTGACCTTGGGAATTTCACCTACTTTTATAAAACTTTAACCTTGACGATAACTTCTGAAGGGTTAGTACTTCATATTTCCCATGTGTATTTCCTTGTGACAATAGCTTCCATTGGATACCAACAATTTTGACACTATGACCTTGAAGTTTGTTTTACTTTTAAAACACTGTAACCTTGGTCGTATCTTTTGAACTTTTTGTACTACAACTTTCATATTTTACAGGTATATTCATTTCGATTGCGATTTTCCATTGGATACCAACAGTTTTGACCCTTTGGCCTTGGAGTTTGACGTACTTTAAAAAACTTTAACCTTTGCCATAAATTTCATATTTTACATGTGTATTCTTCTCTTGGGTACCATTAATTTTGACCTTGACGTTTCACTTACTTTTCTCAAGATTTAAACCTTCGACGCAACTTTCCAACAGTTGATGCAAGAGCTTTCATATTTCACGGTAATATTTCCTGAAACAAGACCTTTCTTTGGGTAACAACATTTTTTTATCTCGTGACCTTGGAGTTTGACTTGCATTTGAGAAATCGTAACCTTCACCATAAGCTACCAATACAGGGGCATCAGTGTTTTACAAACATCTTGATTTTTTTTTTATTTTAGGCAAAACTACATTGTAATTTAATGAGTGCACGAAGGTGTTTTACTGTAGAATTCCAGTCTGAAGTCCACACTTGAACTACGAACGATTACCAAACTAATAACTCGTACTTATTTTTTAAAGATTTAAAATCAGTCTAAAACGACCATTTCATGGGGTTTACACATGCCACACAAATTTATCATATCTTTCTTTAGCCTTGATTTTACCCCTGATAACGTAATTTATATTTTTTTCTATGGAAAGACTGAAGGAACATAATCATCAAAATGTCTGTATATGCTAGGCATTTTATTTCTGCACAAAAATATTTTTAAAAAACTTTATATTTAGTTCAAGAGAATGCCTATACTTCTATAGATGGCAAGAGGCAAACTGAAACCATTAAAAGAAAAAAAAATATCTCATTTTCCAATGTTTTGTCTTCATTACACTTATTGGAGCGTCTTAACTTCCATTTGAAGTATTTGTTTGCATACCGTTTTGACCTAATTCTAGCTATATTTCATTTTCGCGCGAGAAATTTTTGAAAAATAAGTAAAACATTTGTCAATGTATTTATTTACCCACTGATTTGGCCGATTAGAGTTGATACAATTTAAGTAACATTGAGATGCTGTTAAAGTTAAATTTCTTAATAGTTTTAAAATAGTGTAAACTGTTTTACTAACATTTTGATACCTGTAAAATATTTGATATAAAAAGCATACCGGATGCCACGAATTAAAAAAATATTAAATCTTAAACGTTTGCGTCTACCAGTTTTCAGATAAAGTCTAATTTAAAACATTAGGGAATACACATTTAAAGGAAATTCGAAGTACTCTGACACCTTCCCTTAATCGGTATATAGTATAAAAGAGGTGCGCACGCGTGATTCTCCCCTCAGATTTACATACGCTTATTCGTTATTGTTGAATTTTCGCATTGCATAAGCTGAAGTCTTCTTGAAGCAGTTTGCGTATGCTAGAAAAAAAAAATGATGGCCGAGACTTTATTACATGGGGTGTGTTGCAAAACTACAAATGGAAACAATCATAAAGGACATTGGAAAAAAAGGTAGGCTTCCACAAAGTATTTGTTTATTGTGGCAAAGAATGAAGACTTTCGACTTTATTTTTAACTGACCACACTTGTTTTCTTTTACTAAAAAGTTTACAGGACTGAATCATAGATATGTTAGATCTTCTTTAATCCTTGCAATAATTCAAACTTAAAATATCCAAGATGTTGCTGTTTGCCTTTGATTTCAATTAACAAAAAACGTGTGATGCAATCAAAAATAATTAAAGTTTACTTGAGAATTTTTATACTTATCATTATGCATCCTCCTTCAATGTTTGAGTCTAAAATATTGTATGGTACTGCATGATAATGGTTATTTTGTTTCATGTCTTAGGAGAGCAGAGTTTGTTCAATCAAAATCTAGAAATTAAAATTCTGGCTACGCTTCGCACCCTGCCTCCTCCCAAACCTACAGTTTTGGTGGACGGACATTTTTTGACTAAGTTTATGAGTTATAAATAAATACATGTTAAAAAATCGCATATTTACTTGTATCCATTGATTGAGTCTGCTGGCTCTGTGATGTATATAAAATTCAATCAGAATTTCCCTTCAGTTAACAGCACATGTTCATCTTTTATATATCATTTCCTTTTGTCAGAATAAAAATCAATTCACAGGAATGTTAAGTGCATTTTGGTGTCGGCCTAATTGTACTTTTAAACTATATAAAAATAACTAAAACGTGACAATTGTTTATCCTTTGCTTTTATTTACGTATTACCTACCAAAATTTTATTTTGAAAAGAAAATATAATTGAAATAAATATTCACTGAAGTATTAACTATGATAATATCGGATTCTTAGGTATAGTTTGTATGATACAACATACTGTGTTTGGAGGGTCTTCCTTGTCTCTATGTACACTAGGATGATTTTAGTATTTCGTCAATAAATCCACAACAAAGATACACAAATCATGCCTCATTTTAATAATTATGACTTCAATTACAATCTCTCTCATTTTGATTGAAAATTCAACTAGCTGGAAAAAAAACGGAATAACTTGTCTTCTTTTTCATTGATTTACCATGAATGTATATTTTGGATAATCACAGATTTGGAAATGACCGATGACGATCATCTTTTTTTCAGAAATAAGTTGTGTAACATTCACTCATTTTGATAATTGTTGAAATTGGTTTCCATAATTCTGAGGTAGTACTGACAAAATTAAATTAAAACTTTCTTAATGTCGATTTGTCAGGTTAACGTGTGTTAAAAATACGTTTAAGAAATATTTTGTTACGATGACACTGTTAATTATGGATCTTGCTTATCTATGTGATACAGGTTTGACTTGACTATTTCCATGCTCTGCAGAATCTGACACAACTGCTTCATATTTAGAAATTTAACTAGAGAAGGACATTAATAGCAAACTAACACTTATACTATATATATATATATGACACACGGAAAGACTTTAATTTTTTTTATCGTTAACTTCCGTTTTTTTTTTGTTTTTGTTTTTTTTTATTGTAATATACCATTATCCCCTGATATTGAGGTTTATGTATCACAATTGATTCAATGCGCAAGAGCATGTTCTTTGTACCAACATTTTTTTTTAAACAAGGCAGGCTACTGTCAAACACGCTAATGATAAAAGTATATCTGAAATCTTGTTTAAGGTCAGCATTTTACAAATTGTGCTGTCGATAATATGATATTGTTCCTAGTTAAAATCTGTCCTTAGGTCGAATGCTGGCTTACGTTTTTCGTATAAATTGTTAGGTTCACACTGAATTCACTACGGATTTCTCAGTTTACCGAATCACAACAAAGAATACACGGCAGGTATGGCAGGTCGAAAAGGAGATGGTTATTCCTGTATAGCATCTGATCAGATCCCGCCCATTAAATACCCTAACAAAAAATACTGAAGTTAACTATAGTTAATTATAGTAAATCAAAGTTTCAAAGGTATCACTTTAGTACATCAAGTTTTCAAAGTAATCACTATAGTGTCAAAATTATCACTATAGTAAATCAAAGTTTTCATAGTATTAAAATTATCACTATGGTAGATAAAATTTTTCATAGTGATCACTATAGTAAATAAAAGTTTCATATTGTCAAAGTTATGTCTATAGTAAATAAAAGTTTTAATATTTATCACTATAGTTAATCAAAGTTTTCATAGTGAATACTGTAGTAAATCAAAGTTTTCATAGTGATCACTATGGTAAATCAAAGTGTTAACGTTTTCACTATTTTAAATCAAGGTTTCAAAGTCAGTATTATGGTTTATAAAGGTTTTAAACATGAAGCGTCTAGAAATTGAAAGTTTGAAATGTATTCCTACAGCATATAATTTTCTGTGATGCATGTAGATGTTAATTAATTTCACAACATTGGTATTATCTACTTTTGCAGATTATCTCAATTTACGAAAGATATCTATTGATGTCTTCTATTTCAAAGACATGTATTTCCATGCTCTTTGCATGCAATTCATTTTTTGCATTCAATTTAATTTTGAATTATATATTTTTTGAAAAAAATTTTTTTGGTTTTCAAAGACTTCTACTGGATTAAATTTCTAAAATGAATATTATTTTGCTTTTATTTCAATTGGCCTCTTTTATATTAGTAAATAGCATAATTTAATGTTATTTAGTATGCATAAGGATGTATAGGGCTACCATATTAGAATACAATAATATACAGTATATTTGATTGATAATCAATAAATCAAAGTTTTCAAAGTAAACACTGTAGTATTTCAAAGTTTTCAAGTGTCAAAGTTATCACTATAGTAAACCAAAGTTTTTATGAGTGATCACTTTAGTAAATCAAAGTTTTCATAGTGATCACTAGTTTTCATACTGATCACTTTAGTAAATCAAAGTTTTCATAGTGACAGCTATAGGAAATCAAGGTTTTGAAAGTGTCAAACGTATCACATTACTAAATCAAAGTTTTCATAGTTATCACTCTAGTTAATCAAAATGTCAAAGTTATCACCATAGTTAACTATAGTTAACTATATTTAACTATAGTATTTTTTGTTAGGGTATGTCTATATGTTTTCTCCGCTCATAAGTTATCATGCTTCAGTGGCATTTGACTATGATTATTGTTGCGTTATCTTCATATTTTATCTTTCCTTGTCAAAACTCAAATGCGATACTATTGAAAAATTTACCATGGACAGTCTTGTTTATTCGTATTAACCTTTCACCTTTCATATATAATAGATTTTTTTAAATTTTATAATGACTTTTTTTTAGTTTCAGATTTCAAGTATGGTACTATTTGAAAGAAAGACGTTTGAAAAATCCAGTGAAAGAAAAATAAATTAAACGAATGCATATTAGCGGATTAAATAATACTGTTAAATTCATTTATCATAACTTTGCTAACAGTATTCTTTTCTGATCACAGTTAAGGTAAAGTTAGTCAGTAATATTTTTTTGATTTCACTACATTTTTCATTTTTATTTCCGATATTTTTAGTGTCCTTTCTATGAGGCTTTTATTTACATTTGCGATAAACAATAGAATATTAGCATATTAAATATAGAAATAGCGACAACAGACAACTCTTCATTTAAAAAAAAATAATTTCATATAATACTTACTGACTTGCTTGTGGGCATTTTTTTCTTGGAAAGAACAATATATGATAAGTGACTCAATTTGCCCTTTAAAAATGAATATCTTAAATTTACTTAATATATAGCTTTACTTCGCACAGCTTTTCACGTGATTTTTATTCGTAATTTTTAATTTGATCAGAATGCTATTACTTTAGAAATATGACGTTATAAAGTTAACTTTTTTCCCGACATTTTAGCATATTTTGTATAAAACTGCTTTCTTTCAAGCAGTTTTTCATCAAGAAAATATTGAGCACAGACTTGAACAAGTTTTACATTTTTACCGAAGATGTATCAATCCAAGACTAATTACTGACAGAAAAATGTTGCATGTTCAAAGCTGCGCTCTATATTTCCCATATGAAAAACCTGAAAAGTCACTTTTTGTCTTATTTTGATTGGATTGCAAAAATAACATTATTTCTGACGTCATTTACAGCCTGTGAGTGCATTTGAATGTAAAACATGTATTGGATATATCTAATATAATCTCTTCTACGAAATAAAAAAAAACAATTATACATATCTGAAATGTTGACTTGGGGGGGGGGGGGCAAATTGACTCTTATCATATATAGTCCTTTTCAGATAAAAGCTTGCTTTAACAAGGATTTTAATGAATTTACACAGCATGAGAAAGATTGTATAATTATTTTACTTCGTTGGCCTCTTGCACTGTATCAGAATTTTGCTTATAAATAATATATAAAACGCGCTTTTATTGTCCCTCTAGCCACAGTGTCAACATATGCAGTTATATATTGACACCTAACTTTTTTTTCTAGATATATAGTAAACGAGGGCTACAAAAGATTATCAGTTGCACAATTATTTACATCATTTTTATCAAAGTAATACACTTTGACAATAATTATAATAAAAAATTTTTACAGGATCTTTAAAAGTGATGTTGAATTATTGAGGAGTCCACCGTCGATAATGAAAATCTGTATAACTTCCTTCTTTATGTTAGCCAGTTTAATTCAAACCTACTTTATACTTTTATTTGTAATCTGTGATGATGAAATCAATACGATACATGTATTTGCGTAAATGTATAACTGTAACCCTAATTGAGGTTATCGCTGTATAACATAAACTTCTGTCTTGACACGATATAGTGATTTATCACTGTCAATCTCCATGTAATACTGGTGCAAGAATGTGTCGACTAATTCTTATGAAGTTATTACAAAAACTTAGAGTATTTAAGTTAACAAAGTAGTCAGTTACTGAAACCTGATTTCAACTAAAATAAAATCATTAACAATCCTGAAATTATTTCCGTGGCCTTACCATACGTTTGTTGATATTGAATCGTCTTATTGTGTAATTAGCGTGACTTTTTTCTTCTAGATTCTTTACAAGAATATCACCAATCAGTTTGTCGTTAATTTCTGGCCAATATTGAGCACACTTAGTCTAGAAAAAAAAAATAGAAAAAAAATTAAACAGATACATATAAATAAAAAAAAACTAGCGATACTTTGAGTGAACGAAAAAATAATACCCTGCCGCATTTTTTTTTAAAATGCCCATAAAACTTTGTAAATGTGACTTGTCAAAACAAAATTGTTTAAAAAAGGCACATTGTAAGGTCATCAGTAATCCCTCAGTGAAAACATTCAATGTTCTTCCATATATACAGACCTGTTATGAATTTTACCATTGACCTTGAACGTGCTTGAATGACCTTGAGTCAAGATCATCACACAACTTCAGGTCATAGTCAATCTCTGTTCTAAGTAGCAGCTTCCAATGATTCTTTATTACAAACTTAAATAAAGGACAATAATTTCATACTTTTCTGCAAGTGACCTTGAACTTGTCGGGATGTCATTGTGCTAAGGTCATGGACAAACAGAAAGGACATAAATAATCTTTGTACCAATTACTAGCTTCCAATGATTCTCGATTACAAAGTTGTAGCACAAACAAGAATTTAATTATTTTTCTGTCAGTGACCTTGAACTTGCCACAATGCCATATAATGAAGGTCAGGACTCGCCGTCGGATCTTATGCAATATCTCTACCAAATATGACCTTCCAGTGATTCTCCGTTTAAAATTTATGACCGGGACCACTTCCAGTGATTCTTCACTAAAAAAAGTCCAAGTTTTTGCCTAGACAAGAAAAACATTTTTTTTTTCTGTCAGTAACATTGACCTTGCCAGAATGACCTGGAGTCAAGGTCATAAAAAATTTTGAGGCATATGCAATAATTGTACTACGTTTGACCTTCCATTGATTCCCCATTACAGTGTTATGGTCCGGACAAAAATTTTATACCTTTTTATGCCATTGACCTTGATCTTGCCGGTATGATGTTGACTTAAAGTCAAGACACACTCTTGGATCCGATGCAATTTTTGTAACAAGTGTGAACTTTCAATGATTATCCCAAGACAAAGTTATAGCTTAGAAAAAAAATTATATACATTTTCTGCCAGTGAAATTGAACTTCATGGCTCAAGGTCAATACACACCATTGAATCATAAAGCAATCTATGTAATAAGTATGAACTTCTAGTATTTTCTATTACAGAGTATAAAAATTAGCCCAGACAAACGTGTTATTCCTTTTCTGTTAGTGACCCTGAACGTGGTGGAATGCCCTTTCGTCAAGGTCATGCCACGTCTTCTGATCATAAGCAATGCATGTACCAAGTTTTACTTTCCAGTGACATTCCAAAAGTTATGGCCCGGACAAAAAATTTATACCTCTTTGTCGATGCCCTTGAACTTGCCGGAATGACCATGGGTCAAGATCCTGACAGGCTGTCGGCAAATAAGCAATTTTGTACCAAGTAAAACCTTCCAGTGATTCTCTATTCAAATGTTTTGGCCCGGACAAAAGTATTATACCAAACGTGAGCTTCCAATGTTTCTCTTTAACAGTTAGTTCGGACAAGATTACACGGACAGACGGACAAGGTTATTCCTATACACCCCACCTATACTTCGTTTGGCGGGGGGTATAATCAAATGTAACTTGAAAAATAAGCAAAGGTTTGATGTATTTGGCAATTTTATGAAGAATGGTTTCATTTTGTATTTGAGAGATTAACAATAATTTGTAACCAACCTTTTCGCCTTCTTTCAAGTTTGTCAAACAAACTATGACTAAGACATTCTCCTGCCAAATCATTTTCCAGAAATCAGGAATTGTCTTTGGTTTGGGACCTTAAAACAGATTGACAATTCATCTGTAACTCATAGATGTTAGAGTTCCTTGTGTATATCAATATATGTGTATCTACAAATAAGCTAATATCACCTTACTTAACTTTTTGTAAAAAAAAAAAGGGGGGGGGTGGGGATTTGTTTTTATGTGCCACTGATATTTCTTAAGATTTTCATTATCTTATCAAATATTAATTTCATATTCGAAGAACTTTTGATTTGGAATCAATTATATAGATCTTTCATTTGTATTAAGGAAATTACAAGTTGTTTCATTGTTTTAACTAAAGTTTTGTTTGTTCAATTTTAAAAACGAAGAATAAAATAGATTAGAATTGAAAACATATGGAACTCTTCTTTTCGAATAATTTTATCTTTGGTTTTCACCACTTTGCCGATTCTCTTTCGCCGACTAACAACGTCAAAACATGGCAGCTAAAAGTAGTGCGAAATATATTTTTGACCCGTGTATTATCAGAGCTATTTTCATATTCATATGAAGCAGAATTTATTCAGAAACTATCTTGCCTTGGTCTCAAAATCGGCATTTGAAGATATCGACGATGCTTTACTTGTTAACAATGTTCAGTTGCATTCATTATATTTCATTTAACTCGATATTAATGACATCACAGAGTCTGAAAATAAGTTGATACAGTTACGTTATTCTGACTTGATACAATACAGAATAAGACACATGCACGATGTTAGATTCAAGCTGGATTCGATAGGATAAACGTCTTAACGATAGACGCAAAACCTGGAAGAAAAACAAATATGTATTTTTTCAATTGTGAAAGGCGTTGTACCAAATATGGCGGAGAAAAAAAAACTTAAATGAAAACGAGGTGTGTTTATAAAACACTGATGTCCCCGTATGGCAGCTTGTAGCGAAGGTTACACTTTCTCAAATGCAAGTCAAACTTCAGACCAAGAGAACAAAAAATGTTGGTACCCTAAATAAGGACCTATCTTGAGGAATATACCTGTGAAATATGAAAGTCCTTGCACCATTTATTGAAAAGTTATGGAGAAGGTTAAACGTTTCCCAAAAGTAAGTCAAACGTCAAGGTCAAGGTCCAAGTGTCAAACCTTATGGTACCCAGGGAAAGGCATTGTCAGAAGAAAGTGAATACATATGTGAAAATTTGAAAGCCCTAGCACCAATGATTGAAAAGTTATGGCCAAAATTAAAGTTTTTCAAAAGTGGGTAAAACTCTAAGGTCAATGTCAAAGAGTCATACTGTTTGGTATCCAAAGGAAGGCTTTGTCACAAGGAATACACATGTGAAGTATTTAAGCCCCACACCAACTGTTCAAAAGTTATGAACAAAGTTTGAGTTTTTTAAAAGTAGGTCAAACTCCAAGGTCAAAGGGTCAAGGTGTTGGTATATATCCAAAGGAAGGTCTTGTCACAGAAAATTCACATGCGAAGTACGAAAGCCATAACACAAACTGTTCAAAAGTTATGGCCAAGATTAAACTTTGGTAAAATTTTGCAAAACTGGGCCAAACTCCAATGTCAAAAGGTCAAATATAATGGTACCAAAAGTAAGGTCTCGTCACACGAAATACATTTGTGAAATATGAAAGCAAGAGCTCCAGCCAATCAAAAGTTATGGCAAGGTTAAAGTTTCTGCGGACAGACAAACAGACAGACATACTTTATGCCCCCGAATCTTCGATTATGGGACATAAAAAAAGTTTGTAGACGGACAAACAGATAAACAGTAAGTGGACTTTTGCGAGAAGTTCTGACTTTTACTTTGACATTTAAACTTGCGTTATATACAGAGGCACGGAATTGATAAACGATAAGAATACCTTAATAGCGGTTATTGTCATAGTGTTAGGGGCGCTCAAATGATTTACCGGTATACAATTGACACGAGATATAATGGGAGGCCTAAAACATAGCTCAAAATACCTTATTCCTGAAGGATAGTACCTCCTTTCAAACTAAAATTCGTCGGCCACGTGGCGCAGTGGTTAGAGCGTCTGCTCTAGAGTCGCGGAGTAAGGAGCTGATCCTTACATCGAGGGTTCGAGTCCACTGCGGGACGTGAAGACCGGTCCTTCGGATGAGACCGTATAAACCGAGGTCCCGTGTCGCAGTAATTGTTAGCAATACAAAGATCCCTCACTGCTCAATGGCCCCGAGTGCCGAATCTATACTTATAAATTAATAAATTTTGCAAATAAACTCCGAAACAGGTGCACCAGAGTTCTTACTTACTCTTTTAAGAATACACTAGATACAAGATGATGTCCGTAAACTATATTTAGATTTCACTCGCATAGTAAGTATCGTACATTAAATTAAAAGTCTACTTTCATTTTCTATAAACAGCTATGAAATAGCAAAAACGTGAGTATGGTGGCGGTTCCGGTTGGCGGATCTAAGTTACTGGCAATTTTTAATGAACCTGACAACAGGCAATCGTTTATTTAATTCATAAAACGTCATCACTGAATTATTCAATCAAATCTTGATTTAAATGATATAAAAGAAATAAGTTCTGAAAACCGATTAAAAAGGGACATGTGCAAATTATTTTTGTCATTCACCGATCTTAATACTGACGGAAGGATCTAGAACATTATATAGCATCGAGCCCGATGTTAAAAAAGAAAAACGAGACGAGCTGCATGCATGAACATAAATTAAAAAAAAAAAAACTTTTGTGTGAATGGTCATTGAAATAATGGTAAATCATTGATAACACTATAAGTTGTGAACATATTTATATATCGAAAGACTATTAGTAGGTTTTCCTAATAAATTTATCGGTAAAATTTGTATGTTTCTCACTGAGAGCATCGTGGCAACAATTTGTAATTCGTAATAAACTTGCTTACATGAAAAGAAAAAAAAATAATGAATAAGGTATTGCTCAAATACAATTAAAGCTGTGAAATTTTGTGCTTTAATCAATACCTTTCATTGTTTTTTCTCTGAATACAGTCTTTTGTATCAAATACTCGGCCTATTCATAGGACGTTAAAAGCAAATCCCCCCCCCCCCTCAAATCAATTTTTCAGTAAAATGTGCATATTCGCTGCTTTTATCCTTGACTAAAATGAAATAATAGCACCTAAAGTACAATATCCACAACATACATGTAGTATAACAGGTTTCACAATAAACGTCAATTAATGAAATTGTTATTTTTCAAGTTTTTACAAAAAAGAGGGGTGGAGACCTACATCTACTTCATCCGGGATTTTGAATAAAGTATTTCTTCCTGCTATAAGCCTGTAAGCTGTCAGTAGAAACTACAATAGATATTATTGGAATTTTTCTGTCAATAGTGGTATAAATTCATTTCCCCGCGCTTGCGCGGGATTTCATCTAGTATACGTATAAATTTGCAGCCCTCCACCGGCAAGTGGTGGCGTCTCTATATGAGTAAGGGACGTTAAAAACAACAAACAAACAATATAAAATTCTAAAGGAATCATATAAAGAAGAAAATTCATTCCGGAAGGAAGTGGGACGCGAAGGGGTTGAGGATAGGGTGATTGTCAACCCAGACAATGTAAAATTTGCTTATTTTTAGCCTACAATTATCTTCTATCTTTCCAGTCCAAATATCTATATCTCAAAAGAGTTTTCGTCGTTGACTCTTCTCGCAAGAGTCCATGTGTAGTACTTGCAGGACAACGGATGTTAAGAAAAGCTCAATTTGGCTCAAAGTTCAAGTTTCAAATCGCAAATTCAAATTCACGTTGCAAGCAATCTTGAAAGGTCTTGTAATATGTTATGAACAAAGTCCTTTAAACTTTAAGTAAAAAAGTACTTCAATGTCAGGTCGATAGTTATATCCCTATTCTACAAAAAAAATAAAAAATAAAAAAAAAAAATAAATAAATAAATAAATAAATAAATTTAAAAAAAAATGCAATGTACATGGCCGCTTAATGTGAAAATCATGTTCCCTGTATTATTCAAGGAAGTATGAGGGAAAGTCGATTAACAAAAAAGTAAACTTTCGAGTTGGAGGTAAGAAGATTAATGATCGTGAACGTTTTAAACAGACATATTGACCCCTTTAGAGCAACACGAAAAATCGACATTTTTAATGATAGGACATTAAGGCCAGGGGCGGTAGATGGGAAAATCATTATTGCAATTAAGTATGGTCTAAAAATTGTTGATGGCAGTTTTTGGCAAAATATAAGAAATTCTTAGTTTTGGAAAAGGCAAAATACATTTTCAAATGAATTGAGCAAAATATTTTTCACTCCAGTCTAACACACGAACACCTAGGGTTATCCAGAGCTTTCTTTCTTAAATTATCCCATGAAGCTTTCTTTCTTAAATGAAGGGTGAAAAACTTTCTTACATAATTAGGAAAAAAACACTAATCATCAATAGATATATTTTGAAAATATACAATTTAGTGATAAGTAATCACATACCTTGTGTTGCAATGTAGGATCGTTTCCCAAGTACATCCTAATTTAAATAAATATTAATCTTATTAAATTAAACAACTATTTTCACATCATTAATACATTTATGAATATTAGCGATATCGTCCTTGATTATTATATAATATATTGTTTATAATGGATTTACCGTATATACATTGTATTTATACAATCTTGTATTATTTGTATGCACGCCATTGTATAATTCATTGATGGAGAAGATCCTGTTCAAGAAAATTATACAGTTGGCTTGCTTAGCGGAGTTCACGTACGTGTACTGATAAATGATCAAGGGTTTCAGAAGAAATGACAAAGATGATATTCAGAGGATGTAAGTATTACCTCATTAGAAGATGTTCTGCAAGATGTATCAGAAATCATACAGTTACTTACTTCTATATAGTTAGCATTGATATAATTTCCTTCATTTGGTTTTGATGTTTTCAATACAACACGAGAGTGGTCATCTAAAAAAATGATAAAAAAATATGAATATCAATTACACACAGAGTACCAGTATCAGTTATAATTTTAGGTATTAATAAATCATAGACATACTTACATGGGAATGTGGTTGTATATCTATTCTTCACTTTGTTTTCGGGTTTCTTGCCTTCTTCACAGGGATGAAATTCGCCTTTTGGGATATCCTAAGTCACACAAAAATAATAATTAATAATAGTGAATACTGTTTGATTCTAATTTTTTAACTGACAAGTACATTAAAAGCTCAAACATGGAAAATAGTGAGTGAAAAACTTTCACAAAAGAAAATGTAGCATACACGATATTCCTGCTTAAAGCCTAGATTTTCAGCTGTTGACATTTTGGATATAATGGAATGAAAATTTGCCGTAGATATGGTCTTATTGGTTGGTCTCCCTCTCTTGGCTGTTTCATGAATATTATTCGGGATCCTTTGGACACCAGGAAAATCATTTGTCTGCATAATGCTTAAATCCTCACAAACTTGTCTTTCTGTCAAATTATAATAAAAACTGATGTATATGCATGTAAATTAATTATTTTATACCGATGCATATTTTCATTATAAAGATTGTATGAAGAATATATATTGAAAATAGAATTGATCAGGTATTAGTAAAACTTATAAGATTAATTAATGAACACTGCGTTCATATTGACGTGTAAGCTAAAAAATAATAGACCTGTTTACCTTCTCTTGATGGTAGTTTATTGTCTAATTCCATCATAGGCTTTCTTTCTGACGAGACAGGTTTTGTATTCTTATACTTTTTGTTTCGTAATCTACAGGAAACATAAAAAAAACATGTAGATATATATCAAAAAGTTCGTTACTTAACGCAAAAAATGGTAAAGATAAAAAAAAATAAAGATGATTCAGAAATCAATCTTTTATTTGTAAATTAACTGCAAACATCACTTATTATGTTTTACATTAATTGTACTGCATAAAAAATGTCAAGTACCTCATGGCTAAAGCAATCAATACAAAGAGTATGGTAACAACAGTAATTGCACCCAGAACTCCACCAACTGTAAGAGCTTTTACAGATGTGCTTTCAGAAATGAGAAGAGATGTTCCTTAACAAAAAAGGACATAAATATGTACGAATAATCATGAATAACAGAAGGAATTGTACTGAACAAAAACTGTGTCAATAAATTCTGAAATTCTATTCATTTGAGATTTGGATTCAATGTAAATTATGAAAATTGCATTTTTTACGGTAAGAATATTGAATAAATTCCACAAAGTAAATTAAGATAAAAATACACACACTTTGATCACAAATTTCTCCATGAAATGGTTCTTTGCATCCTGCAAAACAACTTCCGTTGAATCTATCACAAGTTTCATTGGCACAATTTTGGCTGCAGGTAAGAAGACAATTTTCGCCGTATGTGTTCAAATCACAACCTAATATATTTTTTTAAAAAATGATTTGTTGGCATTTCAAGTATTTCAAAATAATTTCACAGTGTTTAAAGACATTTTTTAATGTAAATATACATAATTATTCACTTTGGTTGCAATACGGAGAACCCATCCAGCCAAAACTGCACACACAAAAACCGTCAGTATGTCTACATGTACTTGTGCATTTTGAGGAACAGACACTGGAGCAATTTCTTCCGAAGTGGTTGGCTTTACACACTAAAATGTGGCGTAGAATTAAAAATTGTTCTTTGTTATAATTCAATTTATAAAAAGATAATTTAAACAAATGAAAAAATGTAAACATATAAATTCAAAACACGTTGCTTATAAGAGGTTACATATATTACGTATGGTACAGTTTTGTCCAGTATAACCGTCTTCACACCCACGAGAACAGATTCCGTCTACGTGATTACAAGGATTTTTTTCAGAACAGTGTCCACTACAAGGTTCTTTGCATTTTTTTCCAAACCATCCAGGTGTACATTCTGTTACAGAGAGCATATTTTTTTTCGTAAATATTACAACAAGCAATTATTAGTACTACAAAGTACTTTATAACTTGCATTCTTTTCCAAACCACACATTCGTTCTCTCTTAAAAAGGAAGAATTGTATCTCAATACTACAGAAACAAGTATTAATATAGTTCAGTAATTACTCAAACCTACCGTTTTTACATAAATCACCAATATATCCATCACTACATCCCGAGTCACAATGCCCAGTTTCCTTGTTACATGATTCGTCATTTAAACAATGTCCACTGCAGTAGGAAGTACAATTGATGCCATAACGTCCATCGTCACAAACTGGAAATTGATACCTACATGTACTTATGATCAATGGATGGCGTGGCTTAATTCTAATATAACACTGAAGGGTTTAAAACTTATCTTTTTAAATTACATTCCTTAAATTAGTATTACTCTTACTCTAGATATTAATCATACCTTCGAAATAGTTTCTACTCCAAAGATATTTTTAACCTATTTCCAATTTAAAAAGCACGTGAAAGAAAAAAACTGATTTTAAGGAATTTTATTGCACTCAAAATCACAATTTATTTCGTACTTCATTACAGCACAACTAATTATGTGGATTTTAAATATACAAATGACGATTATGATATCATAAGTATTTTTGTTTTTATTTTTTTTTAGTTTTGGTAAAATATTATATTTTTACTTTCTTATCAATAGAAATGCAGAAATATCAGTCGCAAGTGATGGAAATTTTTCCGACACGAAGAGAAAAGGGCAACACTACACGATATTCTATATTTTTTAATTAAAAAAAATTAAAATAAAAAACAATTTTTGCGCTTTTCATTTTAAGCAGTGTTTAAATAATTTGGAAAAAACTGTTTTAAATAGACATAAAGTAATATATGTCAGTGAATAAAATATAACAAATCGAATGAAGAATGATTATACGAATGAAATTTAAAACTTTCCGCCATACGTACATGTACATGTTGTAAATGGTATAACTCATTGCTTTGGCTACGATATTGATCACTACCTATGTAGTGCATATCTGAAAGTACCTCTCCTTGGTGTCTTTTTAAAAAAATCCCTTTTTTTGTTTATGATTCATGATAAATCCATAAATTCGCACAGATAAACAGACAAAACAATGTCGATTTGTTTTTTTGTTTTTTTTTTGATAAGTAAGTCATCAAAAAGTAGTGTAAGCATTCAGCGATCGAATCCATTCAGGTCAGGTCAGTCTTTGCTGGTATGTATTTAATATGCCGTTTAATAAACAATAAACACTGATTGGATGAATGAAATACATTACAGCATCTGCGCGTATTAACACACGACTGAGTATAACTGGGGATGACTTTCTGGTTTATCTGTTATTTTTTTTTCTCTTTTTTTTAATGTTATTTATTTCTAGTAATATAAAATTTGAATAAAGATGTTTCATGTATGCATAAACTTAATTCAAATCAAATACGTTTGAAGGTACTAATGACCTAAAAAAGGAATTTTCTATTTTGAATATTGTACTCTTACTTTTATTGCACATAGTTCCTGTCCATCCCGATACACAGCCTCCGGCACATCCACCCGTCACGTGATCACAAGGAATTCTATCTTTGCAATGTCCCGAGCATTGAAATTTACACTCTTGACCGTATGATCCTCTAGGGCAAGCTTTTTAAACAAAAGTAAAATTCAAAACCACAAATATCCAATATACATGTACATGTTTATTTATAAATGAAAATTCGCATTACGTGTTTGACAGCTTTCTCCCACCCAACCAGGCTTGCATTTCATACATGTTCCATGGATAATATTGCATTCGGTTCCAAAACAATTAGCTGGACAATATATATCACAATTTGCCCCATACTTTCCTCTAGAGCACCCTGTTGAAGAAATTTTTCGATCCTTAGAAACACTAAAAGAGCAACAATATGTTGAGAAATATATATAAGAAATTATTTTTTATACATGTATTTACCCTCAACTACGACCTCACACAACTGGGTATAAGAATGAAATCCATATCCCTCTGGATACGTCACTCTAGTCAATCTTTCATTGTAGTAGATGACATATCGGGTATGTCCAATACAATCCAGTTTTGATGTAAAATTTAATGGAGGTAACTCCGGTCCGTCTTTGTAGCACATATACCCGTCATCTTTTTCAGTAGAGTTTGAGAGATAGAGAGAAAATCCAGCAAATCTACCCCTTTGCCTCAGGACTAAGAGAAAGAGAGAACATGTAGAAATTAAAACAGTTATGCAGAACTATATCATCTTACAGTTTAATTATTTAAAATCTGATCTTTAACAATACCGGTACTCCGCAGTCATGCTAAAATTTCTTTGCTGAAATTTGCTTCAGTTCTTTACGTTTGAAAAAAAAAAATTGCATTTTATAACTTAATGCAGAATATTCAAGGTACACTTTATAGATTTTCCCCCTTTTTCAAGGGGATTATAAAAATTGTACGAGGAACTGAGGTATTTACATGTATAATGTTTTTATTTTCTAAGCCTTTCCCATCCCTTATGCGACAATGTGATCATTGTTTAAAATAGTTATACACACAGAGTCTATATCACAAGTACATGGTCTTTTACGTGATGACCTTTACTACTGTGGCCCTTTTCACAAAAAAATCTTACGACTAAGATGAAAATTTGACATCTCTGTATCTCTCTCTTTGTTTAATAAATATATTTATTTTTTTCTTAAACATTTTTTTACAATGTAACTTAATGTAATAAAATTATAGGATTTTTATCGTCCTACTACAGGTTAGATACCTGTTGAGGAATAGACCTATTTTGTCTTAGTCGTAAGATTTTTTTGTGAAAAGGGTCACCAAACTTTAATCTTGAGTCATACATAATCATGTCACTCATAGGTTTTCAGCAGTGAAATGGGCCATTCGAATTTTTTTTAAATTCATGTTAAGCGTTATTCAGCGAATGCTTCATTTTTGACCCCTTAGATCCCGAAAAAAAAAAAACCTACAAAACCAGTTATTTGATTATTATGAGAAAACCCTTTGAATTTTGTCGATTAATTTCATGGTTATGCAGAATCTGTCAAATTTATGCAACGACATACATAGATTTTGCAAAGGAATGGATCTTTCAATGAGTGGAAAAGATTAAAGAATCAAATATTTTGAAGGCCGTTTTATGACTAAATATTTGTGCTTCATTTTTGTTTTTTGTTTGTTTGTTTGTTTGTTTTTTTAAATAGATCTGTACTTCTTTTTTTAAAGATAGGTGGGCGCTTAGCAGAGAAGACCCTACTTCACATTGGGTAAATTACAATTAAAGTTTTCAAAATTATTGTCCTGTCTATTTATTCCTATCAATTTTGCCGAAGAAAGCGTTGGTGCCTTTAAGGATACTCGGTGTTCAATGGTCTTGAGAGCCTTGTAAAAAACTATATCAAAACAATGCCATACTGAAAATCTTTTTTGAAAAATCATAGTAAATTTCGAGAAAATGATTATAAAAAAGAAGTCTCTGAAGAGACTGTAGCTTTACTGATTTTTACTTAACAAAAGTAGAGAAAGTTAGCACATGAACATGAAACTATGGCAACTGCAATAAATAAAATAATGATCCTTGGTTAAGTCTCTTTCTGTGTCCAAATCTGTAATAAGAGTAACATTTTTGAAAGAATTTCACTGAGATATCTATTTGTGGTAACCAAAGCAACACTTCAACAAAATCAAAAAAAAAAAAAAAAAAAAAAAAAAAAAAAAAAAAAAAAAATAAATTGAATTACTTGCTTAATGTAGTCTACTTGTTTACCAAGTTATACTAAAATCTGACCAAAACTGTAGAAGGAGTAGCATTATGGAGGAATTTCCCATAATTTCTTATTTTAACTTACCATGACAACACGTCAACAAAACCAAAAATCGATACACAGAATTAGGGTGAGTTAACCATGCATCGGACACATACCTTGCTTCGGACAACTTTAAGCAATAAACTTTCATTGAACCTGAGTCTCCCCGGGTTTTTTACTTGTTTCTGTCTTAAAAGTGAAGATTTAAACTTTTAAATGATGCCGATTTTTATTTTCATGTTGTAATAAAAATACCACAAGAATGGCCTTGAAATTACGTCATATTTTGCACCATCAAAGGGGAGTAACCAGAATTTTACGATTTTGCAAGTTTTAGAGTTGTCGTTGTTTTAGATAGACATCAACGGAACGGGTCTGACCTGGGTAGAATTTATCAATGATTGATAATTTTACAGAAATTTTTCAAAAATTTTACTTCAATGTTTGTATAATATTTTTTAGAATTGTTTTTAACTAGTATGTTTATTTCACCGTACATCGGATACAAATTAACCATGCATCGGACACTTTCCGATGCATGGGTAATCACTTCCATTTTCATATAAAACCCAAATTACAGCTGTTTTTTACGGAAATAGAAAATAGAAACTCTAAATTTTCAGTGAAAATACATATTATCGACATATGACGACTATAGAAGTGGACTCATTTTTTTTTCTTTAAACTAGATGATGAAAACCAACGAGACAAAGGCACGAGTTGCAATATTACTAGCATTGTAAAGCCTTTCTAATGCGATGTGATGCATCTAAAATCTCTTCACACTTGTGGATCGAAATAGTCATTCACATTTCATTAGAAGGTTTCTTTTTTTTTAAAAGATAAAAATGTTTTGATATTACTTATTTTAAAGCACCGAGATCAAGTTATGATATTTATGGGGGACCATTTCTTGTGGTGGAAGAATATTTAAAAGAAAATTCTTCAAATCTACACATCTCTTTGATTTAATATCTTGGAAATTTGGCCCTATATTTTTTTTTCTCAGAGAAAATTTTTCGTTATTATATGCAAGGAATATCAAATATAGGTTTCAATTAATATTTTTAAAACAAATTTTACACATTCACTCAACAGACTTTTCCAAAAAAATGAAGATATATTTAATAAGTCAAAATAAAATTTACCTTGTTTTTCGCTTGACAAATCGAATATTTTGACCAATATCTCAAAATATACATCACTGACCCCAACATTTTTACATTACACGAAGCATTTAACCGATCATCACTTAAGTCATAAAAAGCTTGATACAAGAAAATATTTTATTGCCTATCTAGACTGTTGATACCCCAAATATGATATTTTTAGTGCAAAAAGGTCACAAAATACTTTTCGCATTAATTTGCAGGGTATTTTCAAAAATCAGTTTTTTTCAAACTATTTCACATAAAATAAGATTATATTTAGTGTCATGATTTTATTTGGTAAAATGAGATTAAGGTTATAGTGTTTAAACTTAAAGTTACAATTTAAGCGCAAAAAGGTCAAGTTAATTGTACCGTTGCTCAGTAAGATGCACACTGACCCCCATTTTTCTTTGCAATTTTGAGTCATGCTATACGAGTTGTTACCTAAAATATACTTCTTAAAAAGTCCTTGACACAACTTATCTCACGTGTGACATACTTAACATACCCGCGTACTCATATAATGCACGTGTAGCATGCTCCGAGAACAAACAATTTGTAAACCGAGGCGGGCTTCTGACAGATAATTTCATGTTACAGGGATTTCAATAGCCTCGTTTAAAGATAGCATTTCGCAAATTCTAAGGTCATTTAATGATCTAGTTAGCAAATATAACATGTCATTGGGTGGTATTTGGCTGATGTGTCTCATACCAACTGTTAGAACTTTATTTTTTTTATACTGAATTTGACTACGGAATGTTGCGTCTATCTGATATATACATAGGGCTCACAGCACCTAAGTAAATATGAAATTTGTTTCATATATATTCCTATGTCAAACTTTGATCCCCATTGTGGCTCAAACCTACCCCTACATGATTTGAGCAGATTCGAATAGACACTACCTGAGGATGCTTCTACCTCAATATAACTAATGATGGCATTTCTTGAGAAGAAGATTTTAATAGATTTTTTTCCTGTATATTCCTAAAATTTGACCCCCATTGTGGTTCCGCCCTACCCCCCCCCCCCACCCCAGATTCAAGATTTAAACAACCTTGAATCTACACTATGTGATGAAAGTTGAACATAAGTTTAAACTTTTCTTGTCAGTGGTTCTTGAGAAGAAGGTTTTAATGATGCCAATTTTTTTTCTATAAGATACTTTATGACCCCCTCTTTAAGACCTTCAGTTTTTCATAAGGTCACGTACGCCCTATTCATCCATCTACCTACCGGTTGAAAAATCGTTTATAAACTCAGTTATTTCAAAATGTAATTAGATTTTTAGCCTATGATTTCTTAATTTTGTTCAGTGTTTTAAATTATGTGAAAACAGTTGTTTTAAAAGAGTAAATACGCTTGATTTTGCTATACTGCGCAAACTATTGCGCAATGAAAACCCAAGTCGTCCCCCTTAATTTTGTAAATATTTTGATTCCATGTTGTTTGTCAAAGCCTAGATCTAAATGATGATTTATGATTTATTCCTAGATATATCAGAACAACTGCGTTGCTTCAATTTAATAAGAAAAATAAATAAACTTGGCCCTGCTGTTTTAAAGAAACTCGTGTCCTTTTTACACCTGCATTAAATAAAGTTTAGATCTGCTCTAATCCAAGTGCTCATATTTATACACAAAAATCTACCCTACACTTCTTGAGTTTGCCTCGCTTTTTAATACAAATTATCATTTATTGTGTTAAGAGCACAAGGTTTGAAATATTTTGAGATGGCAACTTAAATGTATGGAGAATTAAATCCAGAATCAGCGCTCATTTTTATTCGCTTTAAGTATGAATTTTTTCAATGGGTGGCACTGTAACTTTTTGGTCGTCCATCCCAATATTTTTCAGACCAGCGAGATACAGATCTGGAGCTTTAACTGTTCCAGCTAGAGGAAAAGAAAGTAAAAGGTAGAAAACATTATTATTTTGGGTATACAAAAAAAAAAAAAAAAAAAAAAAAAATACAACGACTGCCGGTAACGCATATGCACACTAAATATTTTTCTCAGATTGTAAACATGAGATTTTACGAGTGCACACTAGCTATTAAGAGTTGTGAAATCTGATTAACTTGACGGAATCGGGACACAAGAGAACAAGAGCAGCGGTCGAACATTCTACTGAATTCCACATTTTTTAAATATGTGCTTAACTATGAAATCAGTAAATGAAACACCTAATTGTTTGTAAACTAGGAACTATTTCTTTAACAACCTAGGCATAAGGCAAACGATAAGTATGTTTTACGGAAAGCATATTTTTCGTCATTTGACCATATAATAAACAGACCTTGGGTAAAAAACACTTAACACTTGCGGACCATACAGCTATATTGATTGATTATGTGTTGTTTTATGTCCAGTTCGAGAATTTTTCACTCATAAAGAGACGTCAACACATACCGGTGAAGGGCTTCAAATTTAGACCTTTACTCGGCACTCAGGGCCATTGAGCAGTGAGGGTTCTTTATCGTGCCAACGCCTACCCTTACACGGGACCTCGGTTTTCAAGGTCTCATCCGAAAGAGCCGCAACTTTCATTCCAATGTGCCGAGCACTTAGAGAAGGAACAGTTGTACTATTTTTTTTTATCGATTTAGGTCAGTCGCGGCCGTGATTCGAACACACGACCTTCCGATAACGGACACTCTACCGACCGAGCTACTGTGACGGTACCATACACCTATAACAATAATCGATAAATGTGATCCATTCATGATTCTTTTTCTCAGACCCAGAACACGTATAAACATTGTACCTACGATGGACCATATATATTTATCAGACTCACATAAAACAAAACTAGTTTACTGAAGGCAGGTGTCGGGGTCTCAACACCTGCAGGAATTTCCATTCCTAAGTTCATTTTTTAATTCATATTTCCTTATCCCTTTCCTCCCCCTACAAAAAAAACAAACAAAAATAAACAAATGGAGAAAAAATTTGATACTAAAACTATGCATATGCGTTGGTTAAAGATTCATTAAAAATTATCATACGTGCGATTGTTTCTATGAATATCAAACACAGGGTATTCATATCTAAGTACTCAACTCTTATATACTTTACCAGTTTTGTTTGTTTATTGTTGTTTAACGTCTCTTTCGAGAATTTTTCACTCATAATGACACGCCTATTTAACCAGTACCGTACTTTACCAGTATCGTACCCTATACTTTGCATATATTCAGGGATCTTCACTTTAATTAAATATGCTGATTGATTGATTGTTTAAGTCCCATTGGGGAATTTTTCATTCATATATGGCATCACAAAATATCGGTGAAGGACTTCAAATTTAGACCTTTACTCGGCACTCACTTTTAGCAGAGAGATCATTATCATGTCAATGACTATCGTGACCAGGGGCCTCGGTTTTTAAGTCTCACCCGAAAGACCCGAAATTTTCACTTCAAAGTGCCGAACGCTTGGCAAAGGTAAAGTTGCAACCTAATTTTTATGGACTTATGTCAGTTACGGCAGCGGTTTGAACCGACGACCTTCTGCTTTAAATTTGCTTTAAAACTTTATTCTTATTTGCGGCAACATTGTCAGAACCTGGGGATTGGAATTAAAACTTCCCTAACAGAGAACTTTCTTAACCTAATACATGCATTACTGGACCTCTCAAGTAAAAAAAGTATGTATAGGACCTTTTTCTAGGAGTTCTGGCTTATTAAAAGATCCACAGTTTCCTCTTTGATTTCACATTTTTTTTAACTGATCTTCCTTGTGGAAAAATTATTTACACTCATTTCTATTCTGTCAGAACTCTATAACTGTTATAATGATGAAATGTATAGTGTTTTAGCAATCTCTTTTACTGTAACTCTGGCATTTATAAATATCATATCGCTTACATAATTGCTATTTTAACTTCAGGATGACAAAAAAAAAACCTGTCTTATAGCTCATGTTCTTTCTCGCTCGTATTGCATTTCTTGTGACAGTTTTTTAAAACAATCTTTTTTTCACTATTTTCACTATCTTAATCCATCTGAACATTGAACTGCGAGAAAAAACTAGTCTTTCCAGATATCAAAACCATTTCTTCATATTGGTTCTTGAACGATTTGTATAAGGAAACAAGTTTTCACACACAACCTAGCCTTCTATCCATTTGCTTGACAGAGTCCATTATTTAATTATTTTTAGCTCATTGAAATGTCCTTGCGTACTTTGAAAGTGTATGGAATTCTCTGCAAGATGTGGGGAAAAGCTTGCACTTCAGGGATTAGAAGTTCCTAAAAAGAACCTTTCGACTGTTAAAAATTTAAATGAAGTGATTTCATATATCTAAAGATAAACTGTATGATGCATTTGTATTAAAATGACCCTCGTAAAGAACTTTTATATTCCGTTGTTCATTGAGGTACCCTGCAAAGCAGTCTGAGCTCGATTTTTTGATTAAGCAGTAACATAGTGTAGACGTGAAAATGTTTTTAATTTTAAATGGCAGATATATATACTGAAACGCAAAAGAAACGCAACATCCTATTTTAGGGGAAAATATTATATATAGGATATAATTTTGTATCTAAAATATAAGGACATCTTCAACTTTGTAAATATCGGTAATTTATCGGTTGAATGATTTTCATATCATTACCGGAAGTTAAGTTTGAGTCCGCTTAACAGAAATCAAAAATTGCATGTTTAACAAAATATTTGGCAATAATATGGGGGTTTAAGAATTTGTATCTGTTCATCATAAGTACTGAAACAATGTTACGAAAAATAAATTCTTTTCCGTAAGCGATGCCAAGGCTTCCTAAAAATGACTTAAGTACGCATTCCCATTGCTCTCGCTGGAAAATCTCAAAATACAGGTTATGGAGAGTTGCAGATGCAAATATGCAACACATAACGCCTCAACGGGCTTTTACGTATCATTAGCATGAATGACAGTCCTTGGACCGGAAATCCAAGGGTATAACACTGCGCCTGGCGAGAGAAAATTCGACCTCATCATCTGAAAAAACAGCCATTTAAAAATGGCAAAGAATATTTCTTTCGCCCAGAGCTCGAGGTTGATGAACCTACTGTATCGTAGAAATCAAGTTGCAACTGTTGTAAATGGCAGTCTTGCACGCTTTAATTGAATGGCCATGGGGGGGGGGGGTGGAGGGGGGGTTAACATTCATGTATAACTTTCCAAAGTTAAAAGGTTATAATTTAATCTCTGATGTTTATGAATCGAGTTTTTCTTTACTGTATTCATTTTTGAAAATCATTAGATAAAAAATTCAAATATTTGTAGTTTACTGCTTGTTGCGTTTCTTTTGCCTTTCACTATAAATTTTGTATTTTAAAACTATGAATATAATATTGAATATGAAACTTGCCATTTTCCTTCCCCATGTCTTTAAAGTGTATGTTGATGCTGTATACACTATAAACGTCTCCCAGATCGACGTACCACCACACCCTATCATGTCCGGTATTAGGGCCAATTGGCTTGGTCATTGTACAAGTACTTTGATTCCCATCCACAGCATTATCGGCTTCAGAACCAATCACAGTTGATGTTGTTTTTTGAAATGCCGGTTTTTTATTAGATAAATAATCTAGATAAATAAAGAGGTAAAGTATATTTTAATTTGTTCGTACCTTAAACTGTTTACACATTGATATTTTTTTTAAATCTATAAGTAATACATATGTGTCATAAACATGTAATTTTCTTGAGTTGTTTCTAGAAATATTATGATTTTGATATATTGAATGAAAACATTCTGAAGCATATTCCTTCGTTTAAGTTTATAATGACAATATTAATTTAAATTCACCATAACACAAGGTTAAAAAAAACTTTTCTAATCATTGGTTTTGCACGTCTATCTGTCTGTCCGTTCGTCGTTAGATTTTTCACAGTTTCTAACGTCTTCCTCAAAACCACTAAATTAATTTCAAGAAAGCTTATCACAAAGCATCAATGGAATAAAGAAAACAAGGACCACATCCGCTTGAAAAACGGCGATAATAAAAAAAAAATAGAAAAATTATAGGTTTCTTACAGAAATCTTTCAAAAACAACTTGACTAAAAAATGAGCTGATTTTAAAGCCAATTGAAATTTTTTTTTTATTTCAATTTTATTCAAATCAAAACGAGGGGAGGGGCAGGGGCTAAATGTATGCAAGAAAGCATTCTTACGGTATTGCATTTGTATTTAAAATTCAGATGATTTCTTCGTTGTTTATATGTTGTTTAATGTCCCTCTCGAGAATTTTTCACTCATATGGAGACGCCACCACTTGCCGGTGGAGAGCTGCAATATTTTGACCTATGCTCGGCACTCAGGGCCATAGAGCAGTGAAGGATCTTTTTTCACGCCAGCATCTACTGCGACTCGGGATGTCTGTTTATACGGTCTCATCCGAAGGAAGAGTGTTCACGTCGCGCAGTGGGATTCAAGCCCGTGACGTAAGGGTCAAGTCCTTACACCGCGACTCTAGAGCGTATTACATTTTAATTAAAAAGTTTTATTAATTGGATAATTTTTTTTTAAAATTATTAATGAAAACAAAGATAACACTTTGAGGACACATCAAGATCATACATTAAATAAATTTTAGGATCTAAGTGTACAATCATCTGTTGTGATAAAAAAATATTTATTTCATCATTATGAATAACATTTTACTATTGTCGTTATAATGACATTATTAGCAAAATTAATATAACTTATAATTGGGTCGTATTTTGACTGACGTCTTTCATAAAAATTGTTAGGTCTTTTTTTATACTTAATTTGACTACGGAATGTTCCGTCTACCTGATTAATGCATAGTGCTTACGGCGGGTTTGACCGGTCAACAGGGGATGCTTACTCCACCCAGGCTAAGCACCCAGGCTAAGGCTGTCACATAGGCATATTTCATGAAGCGCGCTAGCGCTTCATGAAAAATATGCCTACGTGCAAGTCTGTGATTTACATACCAATAATTCACACTAAACTTAAAAACATTCCTTATATTTACATTTTACATGTTTAAATGCACCAGAAATATACTCAATGTTTGAATTTCTCGTTGCCCTATATCGTGATATTTTATTAACGTCTCTGTTGCCTAATTGTGACGTCACTTTAGCGCGAGTTTCTCAGTGTATATTTCTACGCGTGAGTATACACAAAAATGGTTTTCAAATTAATCTCACAGTTGGCTTAGTAGAAAAACACAGCAAATGTAAATATGAGCTATTATGGGCAGATTACCTTAATGAGATTATTTTTAATATTTTCACAGGAATATGATCTAGAGCTCTTTTACAGAGAAGGATTCAATTCTAGATTAAGGCTGATTCTAGACTATGTATATGAAAGCATAAGTATTGCCTCTTAATCATTTCTTGCTTATTTAAAACATATTATGTACGTGGTAAGGTTTTTCAGCAATTGTGTTAAATAAGACATTTAAGACTCTGACACAATCAACAAATAGATTGTATTTATTTGTAATAAGTCTTCTAACAAGAGGCTAATGGGCCACATCGCTCTATTGAGCACACTGGTTAGGAAGAAGCAGAAATCAGTTCAGTATTGAACGGGGGAGGGTCAAACTTTAATATACACTACCTCAGGATGCTTCCATATCAACATAACTAATCAAAGCTAATCAAAGCTTTGTTGTTCTTAAACAGAATAATTTTAAAGATTTTTCCCTATCTTCTCTGATCTTTCATTGTGGCCCAACTCAACCTATCCCTGATTCTACAATACCTAAGGTTGCTTCCGTATATATATATATATATATATATATATATATATATATATATATATATATATATATATATATATATATATATATATATATATATATATATATACATGACTAATAACGGCTTAGTTGTTCTTGAGAAGATTTTAAAGATTTTTCCTACGTAAAGTGTATGATCAGGTTCTTACAAAAGATATATAGGTTTTCCTTTTACTCTGTCTGATGATTGGAATGATTATTAAGACACCTCTGTCTGAGGGTATATCACATAATACTTAAATTTTCTCTTATCTAGATACGGTTACTTGGTAAGGTACATTTTTCTCCGTGTTTCCCTAGGTTCCCATTGATACATAAGAACTGGGTGTCTCAATCTTCTTTAGATTTCCTACACCCAGGACTTAACATCAATTCCTTAGGATACTTGCCAATGAAGTCTATATCGATAAATGATTTTTTAAAGATAAAAATGCAGACAATAAGAATATCAATAAAAACTGGTGGAAAGATGCATTAAAACATTAGAAATAGAATGACAATCGGAGACATAATTTTTAATTTTTTTTATTAATTAAAGCACAGGGAGATATTGATATCTCTTACAAAAATTCAACGTCATAGATTAGGACACATCCAACCCTTACATAGTAATAGTAATAAATGAGAATTATGTCTAAATATACTGAGTATTCAACCCCTACACATCTGTTTTGTGTTCAATTTCACTGAATCTATTGCTATTAGGGATGGAATACCTTAAATTCCTTATTGCTGATTCAATATCCAACTTCTTCATCCAGCTTCTGAATGCCTTACTTCCCCAAAGGTTTGCCCTATATACCCTTTGATTTAACTAGTCCATTCTAAGGGTTGTCAGGTTATTCCATTATTTGCAGAACAATTTCACCTAAATATTCCTATGCAAAACTTTAACCCACTGTTGTGGACCCGCCATACCCCGGGGGTTCATGATTTGAACAAATGTGAATCTACACTACCTTCTGTATTAATATGACTAATAATACCTTAGCTGTTCTTGAGAAGAAGATTTTTAAAGATATTTCCTAATATATATTCCTATGGTATACTTTGACCCCCTTTTGTGACCCTGCCTTACTCCCAGGGGTCATGATTGGAACAAACTTGAATCTACTCTTCCTGAGGATACTTCTATCATAATATGACTAATCATGGCTTTGCTGTTCTCGAGAAGAAAATTTTTAAAGACATTTCCTATATATTCTATGTAAAACTTTGACCCCTCTTGTGGCCCCTAGAGGATTATGATATAAACAAATAAAATTTAGAGTATGTAATGAAGCTTCCACATAAGTTTCATCTTTTCATGCCCAGTAGTTCTTGAGAAGAAGATTTTTAAAAGATGCCACCAAATTTTCACGAATTCTTAATTATCTCCTCTTCAAAGAGGACGAGGCACTTCCCATGAACAAATTTAAATCCCCTTCACCCAAGGATACTTTGTTGTTCTTGAGAAGAAGTAGATAATGTGAAAAGTTTACAGAATACAGTCCGACGCCGGAACCTATTTGATAAGAAAAGCTCACTTTAGTCTTCGGCTCAGGTGACTTAAAATTAATAGCCTTTGTATTTATTAGAATTTAGAGATAGTTATATACTAAGAGGAGACTTTAGAGTAATGTCAGCTATACCAGCAAAATTTCAGAAATGAGAGAAGAAAGTTTTGTGTTCAAACATTTTTTTTGCAATAGCGATATGTCACATTCCGGCAAGTGTTTATGATTTCCCTCAAAAATTAAAATTGCCAAAACTCCCTCAAGGATCATTAAAACAGAATGAAATGCAAACTCATCAGAGTTAATTGATATACTTAATATCAACTTAATTTCTACAAGCGTGTAGAAAAAAATGTGCGGAAAACCAAGACAGAATAACAAACATACGGGGAGACAGTTGAACAGAGGAGGAGAAAACATAAAGTTCTCTACGGCTTAACCGGTAGGGAACCTAAATTCTTTAGAACCTTCTTCTATAGAAAATTAAAACAATGCATCATAATATTATGTAAGCATCCAAAGGTAAACTGTACTTAAATGAACTGCCTCCAAATCATTTTTCAAAATTTATCATATTCAAATGATTTTTCATATTTATGTAGACATTTATGTTAATTTTCATAGAATATAACTTTTTGGGGAAAACAAAGAGAGATAACTCTATAATTTTGGTAAAAAATGTGCTTTGTACTCTAGAAATCAACGAAAAAGGAATTTATTTTTTAGAAGCCCCACCCCCCGTGAAACAAATATTCCTTTTTACAGGTATTATGAATTTTTATTTCACAAATTCATATCAAAGCTTTTGTTGTTTAACCGGGATGGACATATGTTTACAGTCAAAAAACAGCAAAAGTACGTGGTGAATTTTTTTTTACCAATTTCAAATGAAATTACAAATACAGCAATGTACTTTATCAAACATATATGTTGACTTTAATATAAGTTAAACATACGGAAAGATTTATTGTCATTTATACATTTTCATGCGTATTTGAAGATTTGGTGATGTTCAAAAGCATGATTTAAATGGATAAAACTTTCTCTGCCCCCCCCCCCCCCCCTTATGAAAAGGCCAGTTAATAAGAGCAAATATCTTTTTGACATAGTTTTTACAATTATAAATCAATTACTTACAATCTATTCTTTGCATTCAAATAAATTTAAACGGCCAAATTGACATTTATATTGAATTAAATTGGTTTATAATGTAGGCGGGAATCGAGATTTGGCGTTCGTAATTCTATGTTCATTTACAGATCCCGAAATAGGATTTTTCAAAGCTATGATCCGAAAGGTGAAATGGGGTCGTAATAAGATATTAAATTAATGCATGTACATTAAAATAAATATAGGGAAACATCTTTTTGTTAAGAACTAATCCATGTACAGTATATAAGCATATAAATATGCAAATATCATCAGGTAGTTCAAGTATGCGCTATAAGAAAGTGATAAATATCTCTTTCCCTCTCTCTCTCTCTCTCTCTCTTTTTTTTTTTTTTTTTTTTTTTTTTTTTTTTTTTTTTTTTTTTACTAAAAAGGCATATCATAGCATCGATGTATAATAACAAGTCATAAAAGTCTTATTAAGTGTTATTTCGTAGTAGAATAGCAAATAACCTTAATTACCTTAAAATGCATGAAGTTTATTTTAGCATAGCAATTTGAAATACCCAGTACCAAATACGTAATGGTGATTTATTCCTTATTTTCTCAGCGTACGTTCTTTAAGTTTTTAACAAGGCGTTTATATCACATACCGTATCCAGATGATAAAATAAATCCGCTGAAACACAAAAGTGTCCAAAGAATATTTTTTCTTGAAAGAATCATACTGGTAACGTTGAAATCTATGAAAACGAATTAAAAGAAAACAAAATAACTGACCAGGAAGCTTCAGCTGAAGAAAATATATAAATATCTAAGGAGGACTATATTTGCTATAATTTAGTGGAAAAAAAATGGATATTTGAGATCAGGTACAATATTGACACTGTTTTGGTGATATAATTGATATCCATTGATTAAATATCTATTATAAATATAACTGAAATTAAAAGAATGATTTACCTAATAATATTTGAGTACGTCGAAGAAGCATTATGATTTCGACCAGTATACAAGTAACTTATTATTTAAAGAACATTTTATTTGTGAGCACTATTCATTGTAGTTAATATATTTTCTGTATACACTTATTTATTAGGTATATATACTTACAAAAGAGGCCGGATTCTATTTTTTTGTTCTAGGAATGATAATGTTAATTCCAAAGATCATGACCATTTGTATAGGTCATGGTATCTATGTGATAAGGAGTTTGAGACATATTCAGTATCATTCATCTTCTGCTTTTATGTTTATTTTATTTCTGAATTTTGTATAAGATTGAATAAATTAAAGAAGTAAAAAACTTTAACTTCGTATTTCCGAGTATTACCCACTGTAGAGGAAATTTGTAGTACTAACCGTGACGAGAAATACTGGTATTTACCACTGGCAATCCCCACCGCTGGTATTTCCCGGCCAAACCTGCCAAAATCTACTAAGAAATAATACAGCCTGATAGATGAATGTCAGTTTACTCCTTAAAGTGTTGCTGAAGACAGCAGACCTTTGAAAAAAAAAATCAATAATTGTGGTTTTGTTGTTTCAGCATACACAGGTAAAACGTATGTTTAGCATATGCTGAACATATGTTGAAGATATGTTCTGAAACATATGTTCGCCATAAAAAACGAGCAACATATGTTTAACATATGTTTATGAACATATGTTGATCGTATGTTTAACATATGTTGCTTCTATGTTTTGTTTGAGCATATGATTAACATATGTTTATGTTCATATGTTTTTCATATGTTAAATATATGTTAAGTTTATTTCTTACTTACATTTATTATTTAATTATTTTGTATTTCTTTGAATTGCAAAGTTAGCTAAATAGTTGTCTTGTCCTTTCATCACTTAATAATAAGAAATCAAAGAACACAATCTCAAGCAATAATCTTGTGTATATTTTTTCATTTTTTTTTTTTTTTACATAATTCTGGCTTTATTTCCCTGACAGTGACTGCATTGCTTCTGAAATGATAATGAAAAAATAATAAAAATTAAGAAGTCAATTACATGTATAATAGATAAATATATACCGGTATTAGTTAGCACAAAGAGTAATTACTTTGAGCACTTACACTTTTTTTCTTGGCCTGTTCTTTGTTTTCTTCTATTTTACAACCCCTTGGAACCTCATCATAGGATTTAAAATTGTCACATGTTAATGTACTGCGTGGCACTACAGTGGAGTCTCCAATTTTAAGGTTCTGTTGATTAATACAGGTTCTCTGAAATACAAATTAAACTCTACATGTAATTTAAGTTCATTCACTGAAAATATTTGTCATGTGCAAACAAATGCACACCCCATTCTCCTAAATATTTATCCGTTATGATATGAGTTAAAACTAATTTCATAAAACATGTATAACACCACATAATGTTATTTCCAAGACAATTTCACTCTTGGAAGGCATACTTTATAATAAAATCATTAAAAAAAAAACATTTAGTTTTTCTAAATGTTTACAAATGAATATGGAATGTTGAAATGTTATAATATATTGATATTAAATGGATAATCAGATACAAATGTATTTTTGGATATAAAAAAAATACAGGCAAAAGTACAGGCAGAGAAATAGACATTTTGTTTTCAGTATATCTTAAAACTTTGTTTGGAAGAAAATAACAAAGCTTGTGATACAGGGTATATTTACCTATTCTGGAGCAAGCTTAGGGTCCTGTGGACCTTTTCACAAAAAGTCTTACGACATATTTTTATCTTAAGTGAAAACTTATGATAAAAAACGTTTTCACAAAAATTCTTAAGAAAGTCGTAAGTGCAAAATCTGTCGTAACTTTATGAGAGTCCCATCCCTCTCTTAATTATTTTAAAACCGATTCTATTGTAAAAATATAACCGCAAAGACCAAAACACACGTTAAAATGAACCTTTTAAAGCAACTTCCAATGGTATTTTATATTTTTTTCACAATCATTGTCGAAAAATTAAATGAAAGACACTACAAAATATTTACGATGTAAGTTTCACTTAAGATTTTCGTATGACCCACTTTTACGTCAGACTTGTGATTGTGACGTCAGATTTTAAACTTCCTTGCTTCACGAACGATCACATTCGATATTTGTTGTCAATAATATTTTTTATGCTGACAAATGTTGAAAACTAAGTTTTATTTTTATTTTCACCGACTTATTCAAGGAATATAAAGCATATTGAAGTCGTTGATAGGGATGACGTCTGTCGTAAGTAAAATCTTAAGTTCAATCTGCTACGAATGCGTTCGTGAAAAGCACTTAAGATTTGTCATAAGAGATTCCTAAGTTAAAATCTTACGCAAAAACTTAAGATTTTTTGTGAAAAGGTCCACTGGTGTTCTTCCATGTTATTCAGAGCAGGAAGGGGAGCCTATAAAACTTGTAAAATAGATATTCATACAGGAAATATTTTCTAATCAAATTCCAATCAAAACTTAAAAGAAACTTCGAAAGAGAGTGAATGCAAGTCTCTAGTTTCTCTAGTGTTGAAAATGATTCTATGTCAATTAATATATAAATAAGTAATAAATTAGCTGATGCACTTTGAATACATTTACACTATTATCTTGAATGCCAGATTAGGCTGAAATTGAGCATCTTTCTGTTTCAGATATTTTATAGTTTAAAAGCCAGAAAGTTCTATCCATATCAATATCTTCAATATTTTAGTAAAAAAAAAGTTTGATTAATTTTTCATAAACCAGTGTAGAATTAAGAAGCAAAAAGAAATTTCTCAAGAAATATTTTGTTGTTAAAGAGTCACTATGTAATTACTGTGATTATTATGTGTATTTATTTTCACCTGTGTATTGTGATCTTGCAATCTTCAGTAAAATCAGCTTTAGGTTGAATCGTCAGTCTTAATAGCTTTGGGTTCTTTCAATAAAACGGTACTCGACACTGAACTCCAGTTGCTTAATACACCAAAAAAAAAAAAAAAAAAAAAAAAAAAAACCCAAACATTTTCCATCAATAATTTGATAAAAGAACCGAATGAATAACCACCTTAACATAGGCTACATACAAACTGCTATGCAAGATTTCTACTTTCACTTTCATGTCAAGATAGTACATAAATATTCAAACGTAACTATTGACAAAAGAAAAACAAATCTGAAAAATTAGAAATGCTAAATGGTTTTTACATTCGCCGAAAACAAATCCAAAATAACGTAAACAAGATCACTAATGAAATATATGGAGAAAACGAACAGTATTCAAGTTCAGAAGTCCATTAAACATTACAAAATAGGTGCAGAGCAAACACGGACTCCAAAACATCAGAGGTGCGATCAGGTGCCATGGAGGAGTGAGCATCCCCTGCCGACCGGTCACACCCGCCGTGTGCTCCTTATCTTGATCAGGAATAAAGAAAAGATCCGTCGACAATTCAGTGTGTAAATAGTGGCCTAACAATCAATGATAATGACTCAATGATAAATTGTATTTGCTGACAAGGTCACTGTATCGACCGTAGAACTTACGAAATGATTACTTTAAACTAGACTGCTAATATTCTTGTTTCATCAACTTGTTTGTCAATAACTTACTTCATATTAGAAATTGCACAGACATAGAGCATGCTCTTGCGTATTGAATCAACTGAGAGATATAAACCCCGTATGCAGGTGATGAATGTATATTGCTGCATAAGTAAAGGAAGTTGACGATTGAAAAGTTAAAGTCATCACGTTTATCATAAAGCTTGGTTGTTAGATTACTATAAACGTCTTTTTCAAGTAAAATATCCAAATATGAAACAAATGTGTCAGACTCTGTAGTATCTTTTATCTCAAGCTCACCGGGATATATCGTATCGACACCACAATGGAAATAACCATTGTTAATTGACAATACGTCGTCGATATATCTAAATGTCGAGTTGAAGGCCACAGCAAGTTTTTTCTTCTTTTCACGTATAAGATTTTGGACAAATTCTGCTTCATATGAAAAGTCTGCTAATAACGGGGCGCAATTGATACCCATTTGAATTCCAATAGATTGTTGGAAGACCTGGTCTCCAAAAACCACATAGATATTGTCAATCAGAAACTCAAGCATCTTTTTAATGTCAACTTCAGAGTACTTGTGTGTACAATCAGAATGTTTTTAACAAAATAATTTTGCAAATGACCAATGACAAGGTAAGTAAATTTACGAGTTCCATTTTTATTGAAAAAGCAGCTGTCAATGATATCAAAAAGCCTGGATTTTACTTTCTCCTTAAGTGTATCGTCGTTTTACAAACTGCATTAATTACAACTACACTTAGATGTTATGGAAGTCACGAGAGTACTATAAGTTCGTATGAATCTGTAACGCTGAAGAAATTCTCTTAACACCATAAACTAAATTCTAAAAACATATCTGAGAACACTTACTTGTTTCCAACACCCAACACTTCTGCTGCAGCAGTGACATCAAAAATGACGTACACTTTCATCCGATAAAAACCAAAACCGGTCCGGAAATAAAATGTGGAATGATTTTTTTTCATTCATATAATAAATTAAGAGGCAGTCCACCAAACAACCAGGCAATGGGTGGCACATCGGATGTCATGGATTTTAATTATTTCCCAGATAGCAAGCTTACGTTGGGCCAACGCAAGCCCAACGGTGAAAATTGCGTTGGCCCTCTGTCAGTTTTATGCATTGGCCCAATATCATCTTGCTCATCGGCCCTACGTTCAACCAACATGTTGGCTCGACGTTGGGCCAACATTCGATGGTTGGTTATCTGGCATTGTCCCAACAATGGCCACACGTTTAACTTCCTGTTGGCCCAATGTTGGTTCAATGTTTTTTTTAAAGCTAAGAATGAATGTTGGACCAACGTTGGCCCTACGTTCTATAAACATGTTGGCAAATGATCGGCGATTGAATTATTTTAGTTCAACAATATGAATTCCCGTAACCTTTTTATTTCCATAATTACAAGTAAAACACAATTGATTGAATAAATCCTGCATGGTTAATTATCTTGTTCCTCAAACAAATGTTCTATTTTTTTTTTGTCACTCCTATGGAATGAAATCAACAGAGGGAAATAAAGGTAGTTCAATGTTTTCTTAAGTCTATCCCATATCACTTCAGTCACTATATAATATTCCTCTAGAATAAGAGTCCCAGTGTTCAAATTTGTGAAACTTTGGAATGTTCTCCTGCCCATATTACTTCTGAACCATTCACTCCTTTTTTCCTGTTCATGTTACTGTTTCTTTGTCTGTAAAATCCATGTCTCTCACACTGATACATGTAATTGAGATAAATCACTCACTGTCCATTACATTCCAAACATCAATGGTCTTGTAACACAAAGGGTTTTCTCCCCACCAGATGCTATAAATGATATGAAAAATTTATCAGTTTAATCCGTTCAAAAATGATGTCACTTACTACTTATAAGTTATAACTTAAAGAGATTACTAGTAAATATACATGCATATTTTGAAAATTGCAATTCTTGAATAGCTTGTTCAATTTTACAAATTATATGCTCAAGTTAAACTTTCACAGAGATAAAATTCTATCAATCACACCTAAAACGACTATATACTTACATTTCAAGGGCTAAAACAATCCATTTTCTCTGTCTTGCGATTCAAAACGGACACGCACATGTATATGCTTTGTTCAAGTGTTGCAAGTGATAAGATGTGACCACTCCGAGTTTACGAAACAGAGCTGATTAGGATGCCTGTTTCCTAGGAAACCGGCCAGTCACCTGCTGAGCCAGTGGATTTCACCACTGACCTAATTACATGGAGCTCTAAAATTCAGCACTTTAAGTTCCATGATGCTAAATATAGAATCTACAAAATTATATACTGTGCAGAATAATTAAAACTTCTACATGTATTTGCAATGGTCTCGAACACAAATTACAAACATTAATCAGTATTAAAAATCTTATTTTCATAAATTAGGTTCTGGAATAATTTTTCATTTTTATTAACACATACACTGTAAATTATTAATAAATGGGCTATTAAGATAATCCATTGTTCATAATATTTTAACGAAAGATGACATGTCTTTATTGAAAGAAGCTTAATTGGTTCTAAAATGTGTAATTAACAGATCACCAACATGTATGTTAATGAAAGTTGATTTTATCCCAATATTCACTCCGTTGAACCAACGCTGGGCCAACGTTGAAAGCCATATCAATACCTCATTATAATCAAATTTACTACGTTGGGCCAACATTGGACCAACATTACATGCCCAACACACATTTCATGTGTTTCATGTCAACATTACTTGGTTGGCCCTATGTTGGGCCAACATTACATCCCAACACACAGTGGCTTTGTTTTAAGCCAACATCTACTTGGTTGGACCTACGATGGGCCAACATCAAATGCCCAACATATAATGGTCATGTTTCATGCCAACATTTACTACAATGGACCAACATTGGCCCAACATCGCATACCCAACACCGATGGACCAGCTTTCACGCCAACATATCATCAGTTGGGCCAATGCTGGGCCAACATTTACTGCCCAACGCCAACACTATACCAACCATCAACCAACGTTGGCCCGATGTAGTCTTGCTATCTGGGTTTTTGCATGTAGACTTATTAAAGCAAATGTTTACACATGGCAACATCAAAAAAATTTTTAGTGTTCCTCTAGTACTATTTTTGGTAAGTGCTTAATTTTAAGTGCAAAAAGGTCAACAAGTTGGTTAAAAATTTACTACGTGTTTGTTTTGTTTTATTTGAAAGAGATACTCAAAAACTGAATATGTCAATAAATATTATTTATAGTATACACCCTTATCTTTTATAATATCAATGAATAAGACACCAATTTATATTTCTTTAGAAAAAATTATGTGGTCTAAACTTGAGTTAAGCAAGTGACTTAATTCACTATCCAATTTTCATTACGTTCTAAAATCCAATACATTTAAATGTCAAAACTTTCCCCTCATGTTATTATGAATACAAAGCCCAAATTGTTGAATCAATTTAAAAAATTGGTGGGAACAGGTATATTGAGAGAAATGAGAGGCGTCAAATTATCTACTTTTTATAAATTTATCCAAATTAAACCGATCCCGACCGGAATTATATAAAGAAGAAAGCTACTATGATTTCATCATGAAATCTGGTTGTTTTGTTTTAATATGGTTTACAAATTACTTGATTTATTTTTAAACATGTTTTCTAGGTGGCAATTACCATTAATTTGATTACTTAATACTTTTGCATTAATTTCGATCGGGATCGTTTTTTTTCAATAGGGATTGGTTTCTGTATTAAAAATTAGAAATATTTTCTAAAATCGGCTCTTCTTTGTATTTTATCATAAGAATATGTCTGTATTTTATTTCTTTTCTGTGAGTTACATGTTTTAAGATGATTTTATCCATAGATTATAAATATCTTAATTACTAAATGTTTTTCAGGTTTAATGAAGATCTTTTTAATTACTTGTAAAACTTCTGTTTGATTTCTGGATACACATCTATTTAAAAAGATATTTATTTTATGTAACAATTAAAAGCAAATTTTAAGCTTAATAAAATATCTCATTTCCAAGAAAAATAATTTTTTTTATTACATTTTCAACAGTGAAATACTGTGATTTATTTATTGAATAAAATTGATATTCTCTCACAGTGTGAAAGGATACCAAAATGATATTCTCTCACAGTGTGAAAGGATATCAAAGTAAGTAAAAAATAATTTCTGGTCTGTCATAAGATAGAGCTAGTAACTAAGCATCTTGATAGAGCTAAAACTGCAAATTTCTTCCCAAATATGTTGCTTAAATCCATGCTATGTAATGTTTTCAATCAAACAACTGCTAAGTAATGACGTCTCAACCGCTCAACTATGACATCAAGCCTATGACACTGTGTTAAGAAAAGACAGAGGCAACGGGAAAATCAAAGAAAATGTAATAAACAGAAAATTCAATGTTTTGTAGATGAATATGGAATTTATTTCACTAATGAGACAGGATTTTTTGTTATTTTCACTCCTGCTTCGCACTCGTGAAAATATCAAAAAATCCTGTCCCACTCGTGAAATAAATTCCATATTCATCTACAAAACATTGAATATCCTCTATAAATTATCTGGAATAAAAAGGAAGTCTAAAAAAAAATAGTCCTGCAGTGGCGAAATTATACATGCCCGTACTTTAATCCAGCAAGTATTTTTATGTGTACATCCTCGGCTTTAATCCATTTTTTTTTTAAATCCATTCATCATATTAATGAAAATTTTCCTGTTCTAAGAAATTTAATTTGAAATAAATAAGAAAAAACTGTACACTTACATACATATAATCATGATAATAGAGCCCAGAAATGATCGCACAAAAAAAAAAAAAAAAAAAAAAAAAAAAAAAAAAAGCGGGGTGTGTGGGGGGGGGGGGGGGGGGGTTCGTCTGGGCGGCATCCGTTTTGTAACTGGATTGACAATAATGAGATATTTTGGGAATTTACCAACTTACTGACTTATTTTAACTCCATATAAAGTATAAGGATATGTGGAACAATTGTCAAATTTTAAAAAGAAAATTAAAAAAAATGTTCCATTGAATCATCTGCCATTTTAGTGTGAGCTTGAAGTGGGGCGTCCAGCAGTAGTGTTAGCAACATTTTCCTCATTAAGTAGTGAATTTATAGATTTCTATAATTTTTTTTTTTATTTCAGTTTTTACATTTTTAAAAAAATAAAGTCTAAACAGAATCTGAACCACCGACACTAATAGTAAACAACCATTGTTAATTAGTGAAGTGGGATGTGACGAGTACTTTGTTCTTACAACTGTTAAAACTTATTCGGTCCGACAGTCGATCGTGAGCAATCGTATAATGCTGCATTTGATATTACTGCATATAAGTTAACATATTTAAGTATTAACAACATACGGTAGCCCATTTAGGACCTATTAAAAAATATTTTTGAATTCGATATAACGAATTGTTGAATTTGTTATAACAAATTTAATTCGTTATAACAGTTTATTTGAATTCGTTATAACAAATTTAATCTGCTATAACAAATATGTTGAATTCATTATAACCAATTCAAAAATTGGTTATAACGAATTAAATTCGTTTAAACAAATTCTAAAATTTGTTATAACAAATTAAATTCGTTTAAACGAATTCTTAAATTTGTTATAACAAATTAAATTCGTTTGAACGAATTCTAAAATTTGTTACAACGAATTAAATTCATTTAATCAAATTCAACAATCAGGGCCTGTAGAAAAATATATAGGAATTCGATATAACGATTTGTCGAATTCGTTCTAACAAATTTAATTCGTTATAACAAATAAAGGAATTCATTTTAACGAATTTAATTCGTTATAACAAGTTTTAGAATTCGTTATAACGAATTTAATTCGTTATAACAGATTTTTCAATTCGTTATAACGAATTCAACAAATTTTTTATAACAGATTAAATTCGTTATAACGAATTCAAGAAACTGTTATAACGAATTAAATTCGTTATAGCAAATTTTACAATTTGTTATATCGAATTCAAAAATATTTTTTGATAGGTCCTAAATGGGCTTCCGTAACAACACTTCATGAAGTGCACATTTCGACTTTGCTGAATTTAATGTTGCTTAAATCTGGAATATTCATCATTACTGAATAAAAAGAAATAATTCTTAATCTTTTCACATCCAAGCTTTATCAGAAATTTTCATAATAAATTACACTAGAAAAATTATTTTTAGGAATAATAAAATACCAGTATATGCACGTGGTGTTAACTCATTTAGAAAAAAATAAAACAATTTAATCCTTTTGTGATTACTGTAAAGACGTTTTGTACATGTATAAAATTACTTATCAATGCTGACTTGTATAATTGTTTTAAAACATCTATAGCTGAGGCACCGCCCGTGAAAATACATTCTTGATCACAATATTATTTAATGCACTCGGAAAAGTAATTGGACAGAAAAGAGAAATTATTTAACCTAACTTTTTAAAAATCTTTTTCTTTGCACTTTTACATACATTTACCAACTTCCGCGGAATATTTGCAACTATTGTGACGCAATATTAGATAGGTATTTGACGTCATTGATACATCAATGGAAACGTGGATTCAACCTGAATAATAAAGCAAATTTTATACTAAATATTATGTTTGAAGGTGAAAATTAAATCCATTTTTGAAAATAAACCAATTATTTTTGGTTGAATGATATTCTTTAGCGTATCAGTTCTAAATGTCTCACAGGGGTTCTGATAGTAAGATG